ATATATATATATATATATATATATATATATATATATATATATATATATATATATATATATATATAATAAACGTTAATAGTTGTGTTGAAGCTGATAAATTTTTTAAAACGTAGTTTTTACTTCAATAAATTTAAGATTTTTACTGACTGTCCTTGTGAGAAAGGATTTTTCAGATCTAAATAAAAAATTGGGCAAATGAAGATCACTTTTTACTTTAAATTTAATGTACGGTACCGTATTTAAAAAATTTTCATTCCTGGTATTGAAATCTGCAAACCTATCAATCAATTGATCCAAATCAATTTCCTTTATCGTATCACTTTCAATTGATAGGAGATTGAGATCAGAAAGCCTTGGCTGGTCTATGGTGGATCGTAAATAGTTCTTGATATGCTTAAGTTTTGGAAAGCTCCGCTCACATGAAGCCACAGACACACAGATCGTAAGTAACAATCTAAGGCTTAGTGAGAGCTTAGTTTCGGAAGAGATTCTATGAAGTCTCATTCAGCTATGAATTTTAAAACTCAAATACGGACTTTGTCTATGACTTTGTGACACTGAATGTCATCTGCCTGGATGTGTCTTCTAAGCCTTAGTATTTCCTTTAAAAGTTCATCTTCTGTTAACTCATCATAGAAAGAGTTTAATTTGGACGTGGGCACCTATAGCTCTTCTTCACTAGCTTGGGTTGAATACCCCCAAACATATCTTGATCGCTGATGATCTGATCTGGAGTTCAGAATGAAGATGATCAATACACTCCTGCAACACCCTACTGTTTTCTTCTCGAAGAGAGAGAGAGAGAGAGAGAGAGAGAGAGCGAGAGAGAGAGAAAAAGAGTCAAGCATCTATTAACTGTTCTCCTGCCGTTCTCTTCTTAACCTTAATCTTCTCTTTACCAAGTTTTCATATTTAGTCTGATTTTAAAAGTGCATTTTCCATAGCATGTTCCAAGTGACAGCGCTTCTCGTGGAGAAACAATCGCAAGGCCTCTAGGTTGGTCACCTCTTTGCAAAGAATAAAGCCTTAAGTCGTCTGCAGATACTGCTGTGTACGATTAACTTCCTTGAACAGATCAGCCCAAAGGTAAAGGTAGCAGATAAACATGAAATCACAGACAGCAAGTAAAAGACATTGTTTTCAAATTTCAGTAGGATCACATATAGCTTTAATCGTCACCAAACATGAATGAAACTTACCGTTCACTTTCACTATCTACAATCGTAACAGCTGGATGACGAGCCCTCCCAAGTGTTGTTGACAGTCTTCTTACCGACATTCCAGTGTGTTCCATTTCAACATCTCATCAATGAGTGGATGCAGCAAAAAAGGAAAATATTCTCTCAAGTGAACCAAACCATATAATAAAAGAGTGTCACTTACTAAAGTGACCGAACACTTCAATTGGTTTTGAATCATGGTTAGAAATGTTTACTTGACCCATGTATAGGGTCACCACTTTTCTGACGCATCGACCTTGATATTTTAATAAAGGATTGGTTACATGTGTGGAAAATTTACGTGTGATCGGTTATCCTTTTATGAAATTCGGTTAGACCGAGCAGTGTTGCTCTGTTAGACCGAGCAGTGTGTGCTCTGTTAGACCGAGCAGTGTTGCTCTGTTAGACCGAGCAGTGTGTGCTCTGTTAGACCGAGCAGTGTGTGCTCTGTTAGACCGAGCAGTGTGTGCTCTGTTAGACCGAGCAGTGTGTGCTCTGTTAGACCGAGCAGTGTTGCTCTGTTAGACCGCAGTGTTGCTCTGTTAGACCGAGCAGTGTGTGCTCTGTTAGACCGAGCAGTGTTGCTCTGTTAGACCGAGCAGTGTGCTCTGTTAGACCGAGCAGTGTTGCTCTGTAAATATGCATTTTTTAAATTTTGTGTCACCCCCTTGAGATGGTGTCACCCGGTGCGATATGCACCCCACCCCCCTAGCTTCGCCAATGAGTAGATGGAAATGTAATTCAAAGATTGTTTGAAAAGGCAGTATACGAAACTGACAAGATATGTCAGCCGTAACAATGTTATTAAATGTTATGATTTGCTGTGAGCTTAACACAAGACAAGGGAGACTACATTGGTAAGTGGCTATAGGTACCCGGGTACCAGAAGTGAGAGGTTTGGATTAAAAAAAGATTTACAATTTTATTTTTGGGTTTGCAACAGACACGCAGCGCCGCCATTCGCAACCGGTTACCATTAGAGTCAAGCTACTCGGATGTCATTTGTGGTAGTTTATTTAGTTATACTGAAAAATTAAGTTTACAAACATATAGTCTATTCAATTATCTTTCATTTGATACGGTACCTCATTTTGTCTAAAAAAAAAAAAAAAATTTAAACAGATTTTGAATCCCAACCTCTCACTTCTGGTACCCAGTGTACTAATAGTCACATCATTGGCTTCATCGCCTCATGCTGTTTGTCGCAGCGCTGCGATATACTTCCTACTTCTCCGGGGCCCAGGAAACAACTGAAAAGTTTTAGTGATAACAAAAACGAGATTAAACCAACACTTCCACGCCGGTAGCTACGCCTGAAATGTCATCATTGAGATTACTTCATTGAGGCCCCAGAGGGATGGATATTATGTATTAAGTATCTTTCGGTATTCGAATATGGATAATCAAATGTATGTATATTAAGTTTGGTCTAGATCCATCTATTCATGTAGCAGTATTTGTTGATCATTTTATTTATATAGCTCATATAGAAAAAAAAAATTGTTGGCCCCCGGCCCCAACCGGTATATAGTTTCAGAATGAAACCTGCTTAACTTTTATAAGTAGGCTGTAAGGAATAAGTCTGCCAGATTTCAGGCTTCTATCTACATGGGAAGTTGGAGAATTAGTAATGAGGCAGTCATTGAGTGAGCGATAACTATGAGATTGACATCATGCAGCTAATACTAACAGCATCATCTCCCCTTGTATTAGGAAAGAGAACTTTTCATGAGATTCACAAGGTATAATTTATACCGGTAATTATTATCTGGCCAAACTAGAACTTAACCGTCAAACTATACCGGTTAATGGGCACAAATGAATCACCAGTACTCATACAGTAGCAAACCCCATCCATAGCATCTCACCAGTTATGCATATTAATGAACTCCTATTGATCAAATAACTACCCAACCACTGGAGTACTTATGTTGAGCAAAACAATCACCAATGGCTATCATCATTTCCACGTTTTCAAATGTGACCCACTGAAGAAAGCAACATTTCAATGTTTAAAAGGTCAGTTTAATTGTTTTGTGCTAAAATAATACATTATTATGTCTTTAACTTTAAAAAAAAAATATATATCTGTATTAAAAGAATCCATCAATGTTACATTAAATGTTTAAACATGAAATCTTCCAATCAGTCGGCTGGTCTCTTAAATGCTAGGTCATGCTTCAACAAACAAAGAAACAAAGGTGGTCAGTTCAACATTACATCACGAAGGAACAACACTTTAGGGCAATCTTTTTTTTTTCATCATCGTTATTCTTATGAACTAAGCTTCTTATGGACTAAGCTTTTTAATAACTATTTAAGTGAACACAAGCAAAATAGACACTTCAAATTAATTGAGAAATTGATAAAATAATACCAAGACATGCGTAGGTATTTATTTTATATGATATGTGTCAGTATTAGATGACACCAGCTATAGTATGACATTGGATAAGAAATTTTTGCAAACACACAATTTTTAAACAAACAATCAACACTCAGTTTAGAATGTGGTGACCTACTTAGCTCACACAGATTCATGTTGAATGGTTTGTTTGAAGGTGTGACTTGACTTAAGTCCTCAACATACAGAGTCATCAAGCTTTGAGAACCAAGAGATTGTATTGGAACAGAAAACTATAATTCATATAATTATAAAAATATACACTTTAAATGTATTTTTTTTTTTTTTAAATATTTAAAAAATGTTTTAAAAAAGAAACTGAAATGGAATTTTATTTTACAGATTTAATCTGATTATGAAGGACATAGCAAAATTTGTTTATAAAAATCTATCTTCTTTATCAAATCACATTAAGTGTAGTTTAAAAACATCATTACGGTACATATCAAACATTCAAATAGTAACAGATGATCACTTTAATACACAACTAACTATAGTAGTCATATCAAACATAAAGTTTTAATTCTAAAACTAACAGCACGAAAAAAATTTAAAAATCCATTCATCAAATACCAATATAATATAATTTGGTAGGCTTACATAGATCTCTATAAAAATGGATGCATTTAATTTGGTGAAATTCTGAACTTGTTAAAATAATATTACGTGTAACTTATCTACATCCAAATAAATTTGCTAAAATTATAATTCTGCTTCCATGGGCCCACGTTCTGGAACCAGCTCCCCTTCCATATACGTCATAGTGAAACCTCGTCCATTTTCAAAAAGTCCCTTAAAACTCATCTGTTTAGGTCCGCCTATGACCTGTGATGCACCCTCCTTGCCCTACCTAATTTTCTGTTTCGGTTTAATCCTGAAGTGTCAAAGTGTCCTCTTTTTATAGCCATTTTCATTGTTTCTATAGAATAGTAGTTACTATCCTAGTGTCTCATTTGTATTTACTTAGTTTACTTGTTTTAATAATTGTAAAGCGCTTAGAGCTTTATGATAAGCGCTATATAAAAATGCCTAAATAAATAAATAAATAAATAATTAATTTAATGAGCCACTTAACTTTACCAGTATCCAGACAATTTTTACCTTTTTTTTTTAAACACACAACTGTGATCTAAAAATATCAGTATCCTCGCTATTAATAAAACTTCCATCTGAATGAGAATGTATTAATTACAGGAATTTAAGATTTTTATCAGTAGTGCTGACTTTTAATAACATCAAACTCAGCCATGTCATTCATCAACAGACTTTAGCAGAATTTAAATATATAGCATTCTCTTATGAAGTAGTTGCTCACTAAAATGCACACAACAATCTTCTTAAATTAAAATATTTTAACAATATTTAAAATTAAATAGTTCATGGCTAAGTAAAAATTTCTTAATTTTTTCAAAAAGAATGACAATTTCATTATAGCAAGGCCAAAAAGATTGAATACATTGTGGACTTAAAATTAACTAATGACCAATTGCTGGCATTTACATTATTTGGTTTTCTTCAGATGTTGTTGTTGCTGTTGCGACTTTTGTTGTTGAGGTTTCTGTAGCTGTTGTGGCTTCTGCTGCTGTTGCACCTTCTGCTGCTGCTTTGGCTTCTGTTGCTGGGATGATGAGGGACGATAAGCTGAACTAAAAAGTGCATCAAGGATGAGCAGAATGGGAATAATCAAGTAGGGGCTATAAACGGATAGCAGAGTCAGCCGTTCATTAAGGTTCCTAGGGCTGGGCAGTTTCTCGTTGGAGAAGTCGTAAAACAAGACATGCGTAAAAATTGGAATCAGAGTTGTTGCAACATGAGATCCATATATCAAGGAGGGCAACCGTAACCACTTGCACTGTTTAGCTCCTAAGGTTAAAAAAAAAAAAAAGAAAAAAAAAAAAAATATTTAAACAAAAAAAAAAAAAAAAAAAAAAAAAAAAAAAAAAAAAAAAAAAAAAAAAAAAAATCACTGTTTAACTCCTAAAGTTAAAAAAAAAAAAAAAGAGCATTTAGAAAATTATTTAACCAGCGAATGTTAAAAAAGATGGTAAGGTTTTGTTCAAAATAATAATAAAATGAATTGCATTTTACCTTTTTAGAAGTGAAAATAAACACAAAGAAATCATCCAGATCTTGAAAGGACAGTATACACCAAAGATAGCTTTCGAAAATAACAGAGCAGTCTTACCTTTAAAAAAGCCATAAGCCGCAACAAAAAAGAATATGAACTGGAAAAATTCACAAACAATTAAAGACTTGAACCAGATGGGAGGAGAAAGCATCAGAGGATCTCGGAATTCACGGCAGTACCATTCTTTAACTTCAATCAGCTGTAAAAGAAAAAGACATGGCTATTTTTTTTGTGTGAAGGGAACCAACAATTTTAATACCGGTAATTTTTTTTTACATCTGTTGAAGTGGACGATTAAAAAATTTTGTGGTGAGGAATTTTTTTTTACTATTGTTAAAGACCCTCAACATTAACATTTCTATTTCAGTGGTTCTTAAATGAGATGGATACTTTTTCAAAGGTGTATAGTATAATTGTGATAAAACAAAGAGATTTGACAGAACTTTAGAGAATACCGGTACCTCCAAGTTGTTAATAAGTATAAGGGAGGGTGGATAGCTAGGTTATTTTTTTTTTCCTCCTGAGTACTTGTTTTAATTTATATTAAAGATATTTTGAGTATTACAAGGTAACAAGGCTGTAGCTATTGGATACAAAATATACATTATCGGTATATTCTGGTTGAAATATTTTGAAACTGGAATCCTAACAATACTGATAACAGCTTTGCAAAAAAAAACAAAAAAACTTAGTTAACATCCCTAGCCCCTAGAAAAAGTAGAGGTTACAGTATGACAACAAAAGAGAATATGTTGTCACAATGCCCAGTCTTATATCTAAAACAATCACAAATGTAGCCTAACAAAAAAGAATATAATTAGGTTAGGTACAGTGACCAGATTTTCAGAGGGTAACTTGGGACCCGAGGGACCCTCATCCCCTCAGAAGTGGTTGGTGAAAATATCTGAAAGTAAGACATACAGACAAAGAACTACTTCATTAGTGTACATTATATAGTATACTATATGTTATGGGCGTAATGAAATCTTATGTTGTCATTATCAGGAATCACAGGTGAAATATTTGTGAACAATTTATTAATGTCATAAGCATGAAACACTAATATTTCCCATGTGGATAGCTCTCAGGACATCAGAATTTTTAAAACAACATCATATATATCAATAACACACATTGTTTAGGACCAAGAACTGGTCTATTCACATTAACTTTCATTAAGTCCAGTGTTGGGATTCCCAAAAGTGATGTGACTGCATTTAGGGTGAGACAACTCTTTGCAAAACCCATCTTATTTATCATACTGCATTAACTAAAAATTTACGAGGCCTGTGACTGTGGCCTGTGGTGGATACAAGATTAACAAATAGGAATAAATATGAATAGGCCTAATAAATGTTAGACTTAAATAAAAGTAAAATTTATTGCTGACGCGACTCGTCATACATTAATTTGCTGTTTCAGATTGAGCGGCCATGACGACTTTGTTTTGGATTCACTCCCCTTATTTCTTTCGTATTTTTTGTTAAAAGAGTTACATTGTCGGAATTAAAATTTTATTGGTTGATTAATTATAATTGTAAAATTTTCATTGGTTGGCTCATCACATTTCGGTTGTTCCGCCATATTTGATATCTTTAGGGTGCCTGTGGGGTGTGGAGATTTATTCATTTTGTGGCTATATTTTCCTTGGAACCTGAAATTAAGTGTGTAAAAGTGTATTTCATGAAACTGTAAGTTGGATTTTCATTATTTCTTCAGTTTATAATTATTTGGGGCCCTTTTTATTGTTTTTTGTTAATTTTTATAGTTTTCTTGCCAAAGTGTGAAATTTCATGTGTTTTCACTTGTGGATTTACGGCTAGTTTTTAGGGTTCAGGTTATGCTTAGGGATCGATTTAGGGTTAAGAGTTAGGCATAGGGATCGATTTAGGCATAGGGATCGATTTAGGGTTAGGGTAAGGCATAGGGATCGATTTAGTGTTAGGGTTAGGCATAGGGATAGATTTAGGGTTAGGCATAGGGATAGATTTAGGGTTCAGGTTAGGCATAGTGATCGATTTCAGACAATTTTTTCATACATTTTAAAATTTTTCTTCCAAATTTTAGCAGACGTGAATTATTTTATTTTTCCATGGCCGCCATCTTGGCTGCCTCGACCCGTGAACACGTTAAAGGGCGCGGGTCGAGGCAACCAAGATGGCGGCCATGGAAATAGACTTGGGCCGCTCTCTCTTAAATAACCCTAACATTAACAACAACATTAACAGTTTAAGTCTAAAGACTAAGTTTAAGTAATTAATAAATAGGTAGTGTAGACCAATTATGGGTAAAAGTGCAGTTCAGGTGCGTGTATTATTTCTTAACGCATTTCGTATTTTAAAATTTTTTTTGTCATGTAAACTTATGTGTATTCTTTTATAATTAAATACAGGCAGTTATAGTTAACTAATTCTTTTCCCGTAGTGTATTTGTGTCGTAATTATATCTTGGTGCTAACAAAATAGATTCACTGGCTTTCTCATTCATTTTTGCACCACGCCCCGAGGGATCACATACAATGTTATATTTATAATGCCCCCCCCCCCCAAACAAATTAGCTACCCTTTTTATGCCTATTAAGATTCACAATCATATGATAAAACTTACAATAAATAAATATATTTGTATTTCAATATATTGGGGAGGGAAGGGGGGGGGGGGTGGAGAATAAAGTGGTTACCTTCAAAAATAAATCATGGTTTAACATTACACCTTCCAAAAAAAAAATAAGAAATGCTCTACAAGTACTTTGCCACATTAGCGTGGAACTTAATCAATATCCTCCTCCCATAGTACTAAACGATTTTTAAATAAATAGTTTTCAGTTTTAACACGAGTATAACATTAAATCTACAAGTACCGGTTAGGCCAAAAAGTTAAAGACTCCCAAAGACCATAGTTTTGCTACTTAAAATCGCTGCGGTGTACGCAGGCCACAGACCATGATTTAGTTAGGTACACCGCCGTGGTGTACGCAGGCCAAAGTCAATAGTTTCGCTAGGTACACCGCCGCGGTGTACGTAGTGCCGGCCAGAAATAATATATGCACCTGGACCTGAACTGCACTTTTACCCCAATTATGACCAATAAATACTTTATATTATAATTTATAAATGAAAGTGAATAATCTACAACCGAGTATTTATGGACTGTTAGGATTCTGCCGAGAGCACACACACGCCCCATACGCAAAAAGTAATTTTTAAGTACAAAAACCCTCTCCACTTACTTAATGCGTACCCCGAATACCGGTCGCCGGTAACCTCCGGTCACAGATTACACGATTTAATCACACGCTAACATCATTAAATGTGCCCCAAAAAGCGTTACACAGTAATATAAGTATGCCTACCTGCTGAGGATAATACTTAGACGGTATTAATGCCTGAAAATCCACAAGCAAACTAATTGGTATGTGAGTAAAGAAATAAAGAAAAAATAAGACATCCAATACTCGTGCCATTTTCTGGTCTCACGGCTTACGCAGAGACACGCATTAAATAGTTTGTTTAACAACCGAGTTCTAAGAACTAAATTATTATCTTCGACATACGTTAAGTGATTAACGCTTCTTTTTGCTTATTCTTATTACCATACGTGAGCAGTTGCAAAAAGTTTTTTGTATTTGTATCATTAAACATATATGTATATATTATACGTGTAAAATATTTAAAAAAATATTTTTTATTTTATTAATGATAAATTTGGCATGTGTCCGTGTCCACAAGACAATGTAAATCTGATGGAAGACGTTTGGCTCAACTACGAAACATAAAACTAAGAGTTTTTATTGATAAATAAAAGTGTTTTACACACACCTAAACACTTATATACTTTAAAAATTAAAGGTGAGAATCTTGTTTAAAATTAAATAATTAAATGGGGCTTTAAATGCCACTTTAACAGGGTGCAGCACTGGTTGATGAAAGCGAAGGATTGCTAGAACACCTATTTATACAATCAGTCAAGACTTACTTAGTGACTCATTTTCTCCTTTTTGTTTGTTGAGGGCTTCTTATGTGAAACTTTCGTTATTTCCTAATATTCCTATAATGATCTTTCACATTTTCCCCAATTCTATATTTTATTTCTCATATTATATTGCTTCAACCTTAATGCAGTCTTCCCCATGTTACAACTATAGTAAAGCCAGAACGTTTAAGTAATAAATATTGAAAATTCCATTTAATGAAATGGGTAAGGAGAAAAAGAAGCGACCTATGTGTACAGGCTGTCAATGGGAAAATGTTAAACTCGTATATTTGACGTGTGGGGCACCGTGTTGTTGTTGTTGTTTTCAGCCTTGGCATGTTGGTGTGCTTAACTGTAGTGGTCATATTGTCCACACACTGGCCTAACCACTTTTATGTGATGCAGTCTCCATATATGCTTTGATGTACCAGTACTCTGGTTCATGTACATGTGGATTAATAAGATAATAAAAGTTCTTTCACTGATCCAGGAAAACTGACATTTGTTTAGACATTTTAATACAGGCATATTTATCTTCAGCTGATGAAATAAAGACACAGAATGAGTAGAACTAATTCTGATTAACTTACTAATTTTAAAGTAGCACTATTTTACCATAACAAAATTTTAAAGTAATTTATTTAACTGCTACCACCAGGCATCATGTGTCATCAGTGGCGTTGCAAGAGGGTTAGTGCCGCTCAGGGCGGGTCAAGATGTTTATCCCTATCTACATAAAAAAATGCCAATATTATGCACAAAAATAAACAAAGTTAAACAATCCTCAGATATAATTTGTACACACAATAATTTGGTGATATATAATTAGAATTAATATTTTTACATGTAAATATATTACCTATTTCTATCTCGCAATTGTTTTTAGTTGTTTTGATTTCGATAACTGTTTTGGCTTGGCTGATGTGGTGTGTAGCTTCTACACAGGAGTGCTTCTAACACACAAGATATCGCTATATATCGTTATTTCTGCGATACTTCACCTTAAAGGAAAATGGCGTCCCGGAGCCATGTGGATGTCAATGAAAGACGTTTAAGACCAATTTACGGTTAGAAAATACAATTTTTGACAGTGATTTGAATCGAAAACCCCCTTATTTTGAATTCATTAATTTATTCTGCCCAAGCATCCAAAATAAAATTTGATAAATATTCATTAAAATTAAAGCGATTGACATGCCCCTCCTAATCCAAACTTCTGACTAAACAAAATCAAATCAGGAGGATTCCCTGTCAGTGTTATATTACTATTTGCCAATAATAAATTTAATATACTAAAATCATTTCATCACCAGGTCTTTAAATTTTCTCATTTAAGTCATTGTCATTATGAGCAGTAGTGCCGTATTACATGTCAGTCTATAATTTTAAAAATTAAACAGTATTTTAGTTCAGTGATCAGTGTCTAGAGCAACTTTGCCATTGATATTGATTGAACCTTAACTGTCCTTAACCTACCTTTTTCCCTTTGCCTTTACCTACTTATTAACTTATACTTGACTTAACTTATAACTCACTAAGTAAAGTTACTTAGCTTAGACTTCATATACTACAGTCTATACATAAGTAAGTCATCGTCATAAGTACTTATCGGTCCAGTCCTTAATAATTTATAACTATAACGTACAAGTTTTTAATTTTTAGTTTACTTTTCAACAAAAAATAATAATTTATACATCTAATACTAGTAGTAGAAATAATTAATTCAACTTAATTTTTCAAATCATCTGACATACATGAAGACTCAAAGAGCATAATAAATAACATCATTGAATTGGTCTAATGATTGGATGTGATTGGAAAGACCAGGCTTTGACTTTCAGCTTTTATTGCTAGTTAGCCCTAAATTAGGAAATAAGATTAATACTAATACCAATAGTAGCGCCAATACAAAAATAAGCAGTCAGGCCTAGGTCTTTTCAATTTTAAACAGTAAATTACACTGTCAACATTAACATTAATTTCATCAACACAATTTTTGACACCCCCCCCCCCTCCTCTCTTTGTCAACAACTGTCAAAGTCAAACTTTCAATGACCTCCCCTAAGTAATTATGTCAACATTTCTTTTGGTAGTTAGCCAATCAAATCAAATAAAAAACATGAGCTTTAAAAATCCGCTTCCAATGAGGCTAGCGAAGTATTGCCCCGTAACCGTTCATTATTGATAATTTATTGGTAGTTTACTACCAATAGCTCCCCGCCCTAACTAGAAGCTACAATTTTAATAGAGAAAACATGATTGTTGGCCTCAACTAATCTTTAAAAAAAACTCTCCCCCTTGTCAACAATTGTCAAACATTGCCACACACATGCGCACACACACAACCCCCCCCCCCCCCCCCCCCCCAATTTTGTTGACATAATTAATGGATGACCCCATGGTATATTTTTTACAATTATATATAAAAGTAAAAGGCCATTCAACATAGAATTTACTAAGTAATTTACTGAATAATGTACAACTTTCTGTCTCCCTGCTGGACCTAATGTTTAATACACATTGTCAATTATCATGAGACTAATGTAAATTAAAAAAATAACTTGCACTATCACTAGGTATGACATGACATACTGTCTATATCACCCCATGTGTTTTCTTTAAGGCCTAACTTATTCTTTTTATTGCATCTATTGCTGAAGCTCACTTCTAATTTCTGAATAATATAGACATACTCATATTAGACATACTCATATTCACAATTTACCTTAACTTAAACTCATTGTCAATTATATGGTGTTTAAAGAATAATACATTTTTATTAAAGTGTTATATAATATTATGTATGTAATACATTTATTTTCTTCAGATTGTCTAGATAATGGCAACAACAAAAAGGCCATTCAAGAGGCTGACAAGGTTTTAAAAAAACAGAAGGAACTTACATGCGCCAAAGTATGTAACAGTTGATGCTAGTTTATTGTTATTAAAAGAATTATTAATATTTTAATTATTTGTAGAAACTTCTATAAATAATGTCTTGATGTTTAAAATTCCTGACTGGAACCTAATGTAAGTTTGGAAATCATTCTCAAATAACTATTTTTGTAAATGACATGTTCATTCTTTTTTTGTGTATTTAAAATGAGGTTTCAGAATCTGTTCTTATTGGTAGGTCTTGAAGGCCCTCGCCCTGCTTAGAATGGGACGTCATAGTGAAGGAAGTTCGCTACTAGAAACTATACATCAGTCTGAGCCAACAGAGGAGCAGACTTTAAATGCCATGTCTATTTGTTACAAGGAAACACAGCAGTGTAAGATCAATGGCGCTTCAAATCTTTTTAAAGTATTTTATAATGTATAGCTTACTGTATATTTTGGGGGGCTCTCGTAATCTCATTCTTGCTGGTTCCCTAATTTTATTTTTAATTAATTGTTTTTAGGTTCCTGAATGTCAATTCATGTCATCCTATAAGAGTATAGACATATGCATGGGTCAGCAGTTTTCTGAAGAGCCATTTCTTTAATTATATCTACTAAGGAGTCCCAGGCAGGGTGGATTGTTCAAGGGCAGTGGCATCTTGTAAAAGTTAAAACACTAACACTTATGCTTGGCATATGATGTATTTTTAAAATACTACACAATATTTAACTGACTATATAATATCTAATTATAAATATCTTTTTAAGATAAAAAAAGAGAGCAGTTTAAACACATTCAGCGCTTAAGCATTGAAATAAAAACCATCTGCACAACTAGCATATTCATGACCACACAACTCAGCTGCAAGATTCAGGAATCAATCCATTTATAATAAGTGATGTCTTCTTTTTTTTTTTCAAAATGAGGTTGAGATTGGAGTTGCTTAGAATCTTGAGTTTGTTACTGCTGTGGTCAATGCAGGCACTCATCACGGTCATGTGCTTTCCTTTCCAATTGCTTCCAGGTGTATCCCATATTTTGTGTGTCTGCCTCTAGCTCACGTCTCCATGTATTCTTATGCCTTCCTCTCTTTCTTTTTCCCTGTGGGTTCCATGTTAGGCATTGTCTGGTGGTGCTATCTGGGGGTTTTCGGAGCATATGCCCTATCCACCTCCATCTTTTCTTTATGATATCATCAATGGGCACCTGGTATGTCCTTTCTAGTAGATCTTTGATGGTGATAGTATTTGGACATTTGATTTTCAGGATCTTTCCAAGACATGTGTTTATGAATGTCTGCAATTTCTGCATAAGGCTCACTGTTGTTTTCCAAGTTTCTGTACCTAATAGTAGGACTGTTTTGACATTTGTATTAAAGATTCTGACTTTGGTTTGCAGTTTCAGCTCCTTCGACTCCCATATTTTCTTTAATAGCAGAAATGCTGATCTAGCTTTTCCAATTCTGGCCTTTATGTAGCATCGCATCCCCATTTGTGTCTATGGTGCTGCCTAAGTAATGGAAGGACTCTACTTCTTCCAGTGCCTTTCCTGCTAGACAAATATGCTTTTGTTTGGATGAGTTTACCTTCATGATTTTTGTCTTGCTTTTATTTATATTGAGTCCAAGCTGTGCTGAAATGGTGGCAACATCTTTTGTCTTTTCCTGCATTTGTTGCTGGTTGTGGGACAGAAGTGCAATGTTGTCTGCAAAGTCTAAATCATTCAGTTGTTCCCAGAGTGTCCACTGTATCCCATTCCTCTTTTTGTCTGTGGATTTTTTCATTATCCAGTCAATGGCAAGGATGAATAGAAATGGGGAAAAAAAGGCATCCTTGTCTGACTCCTGTTTCGACTGTAAAGGAATCTGTGAGTTTACCTTCGTGGACCACCCTGCATGTCATTTCTTCATAAGAGCTCTGAATGATCATGACTAGTTTCCCTGGTACTCCATAGTGCTGAAGAAGTTTCCACAAGGTTTGCCGGTCCAGGCTATCAAAGGCCTTTTCGTAGTCTATAAAATTTATATATAGCAGGAGTTCCATTCGATGGACTGTTCTCCAATGATTCTTAGTATTTCAATTTCATCTGTGCATGATTGGTTTTGGCGGAAGCCAGCCTGTTGATCTCGTAGCTTCATGTCAACCTGGTCTCTCATTCTATTCAAAATAATTATGTTAAAGATTTTTCCTGGTACAGACAGCAGTGTGATTCCCCTGTAATTTCCACAGTTGCTGAGATCCCCTTTCTTTGGTATCTTGATGAGGTATCCTTCTTTCCAATCTTTTTTAACTCTCTCTTCTTCCCATATTTTTTCAAACAGAGGGTGCAGCATGTTAACTATTGTATCTATATCAGCTCTCATCATCTCTCCTAAATTTAAATAGGTGTAATGAAAAATGCTGCATTTATTCGATTAAATAGCTCTTGAGCGGGTTACTGACCACTGGACTAATGCATCCAGAAATGGATAAAGTTAAAGGATTTATTTAGCTTTTGAGGCTAAGAAAATATTAAACAATGAAAAAGGCCTTATTTTTGCATATCACACACTAATATATGAATGATATAAGAGGAAATGCATCAAAACTTATAGATTCTTGAGTGAAATCATATAGAATCATGCCACCATGGAAGTCTCTAGGTCACATCAGGTTGCATATGACAGAAATGAGTTTTTGCTTTTGGAAAAAAATGATTTTAAATGAAAATGGTGTGGTCAAGAAAACAAATTATACAGTTCAACTAGGTTAAGCTTAACGTTAAAGGTAATTAAGTGAATACAAATTTTGTCTGTTTCTTTAGATGAAAAAATTGCCAGCCTGTATGAAGCAGCCAGCAAGCATCAACCCAACAATGAAGATATTTTGTCTTGTTTGTTTATGGCTCATGTTAGACTTGGCAACTACCAGCAGCAGCAAAGAACTGCCATGTCTCTTCACAAGCTGCGTCCCAACAAGAATCCTTATTACTTTTGGGCAGTTATGAGCATTGTTATGCAGGTTAGTTATGCAAAGGAAACAGTTTACAAGTACATGGTGAGAGCATATGGATATTAAAGAAAGTTTGTAAAAATATTTACGGAAATCTCCCCACTAATTTCTAAATTTTCTATCTCTATATTTAAGAAAATAAGTCAGGTTAACATGGAGAAGTTTTGGTTGGGCTATTGTTTCAATAAGAAACTTATGAAGAAATGAAAATAAATTTATTGCAGTAGAATGCCCATTATCCTAAACATCATTCATGTAACAATAAATTGCATTCTATGTACTTACTTTTTAAAGGAAATCATTAAAAGGAATTTATCTTCATTTATTTTGTATATTTAGGGACACAATGATAAGAAGCTTGGACAAACTACATTCCTACCCCTAGCTGAAAAGATGACCAAGAAATATATTCAAGAGGACAAAATAGAAGCTGAGGCAGGTATGAAAAGTTAATATATCCAGAATTAAAAGTTAATCTTGATTGACCAGAATTGCTCATTCTAAAGCCATCTCCCCTACCCCACTCATAAGCTGATCATATGCCAATGATGAAATGGTGCTTGTGATACAAAAACAACTGAAGAGTGGCACAATCTGCTTCCCCAATCTTTGTTTTATATTATGAGGTAAACTTTGTCGGAAGTGCATACATTTTGTTTGAGATTTGTTTTAATATATATTCTGACTTGAAATCATCTGGGTTTTTTTAATATCTCTTTCAGAAATACTTTTGTATCTCATCATCTTAGAGCTACAAGGGAAATGGCAGGAAGCTTTGGAAATTCTTGAAGGTCCTCTTGGAGGTTTGTCCAAATTATATAGTATAGGATACTAAGCAAGGAATTACATTTCAGTTATTTCTACAGTTTTTGTACCAGGGTTATTTAGAATTATAATTAATTGTCAGTTTTGGTGTTGAAGCAGTTTAGGTATAAGCTCCAAATTATTATTATTATTATTTTTAATCATTTGGGACATTTGGGTTGGTCATGCAACATGTAGACTATAACTGCTGGCCTGAGCTTATGGATTTTAAAATCTTTAATTTTTCAAAGTGTGTGCTATGCATGAGTCCTACATAGTGCTTCTATAGCTTTTCAATCACACACTGATATCATCTACTGTGATGCTATACATTTGTGTGTGTGTCACGCTGACTTAAAAACTTGTATCTAAACCTCCCTACAAAATATCTGCATTTGTAACCTATCATTACAGCACCCATGGCCATTGTTTACAAAAAATGTGTTCACTTTATTAATATCAATGACATGACACTTAATGATGTTTGGTAAATAAACTGACTGGAAGTGGGCCAAAAAGAAAAGCTCTTTTTACAACCTGTCTCTAGGCATTGTATTCCTCTCCTTGCACATAAGTAGAGATTCATCTTACATTCATGCATATCAAAATTAAAATATATAGTATATTGTAAATGGGAAAGAGGAAATAAATGCATCGCTAAAAGCTAAGTCAAGTTAAAGCCCAAGAGTACATGAAGAAACACATTGCCCCACTCCCTGGAGTATCATTTCTCAACCTTTTTTTGCCTGTGGTCCACTTTAACATTTTATTTAGCTCTGTGGTACCACTTTCCTCTTATTAATATAAAAAGGGGCTCATTTTACATATTTTTATGTCCAATTTTCTAAGATTTTTGTGACCCTCAAGAAATTTTCTGTGGCCTGCAGGGGGTGGGGTGGGGAGGATAAAGCCCACATTGAGAAAAACTGCTCTAGGGACTAAGGCCCCTCATCCCGCTTTTAAGCAAGTTTGGCTTCTGACCATCCTGCCTGAAATATTAAAATAGCTCCCTTTCCATAAAAAGTTTTTCAACCTCTGATTTGAGCCAGAACAAAATCTGATAGTAGTTATTTATACTTCTGGAAACTATATGCTATTATTTATTAATTTTCTTTGCTTTTGCCATTTACATTTTTATGAATGATTTGGTATTATTAATCAATTTGAATACATTCATATCAGGACAACTTGGCAATGAATTAAACCTAAGAGAAACAAGACTAGCTCATGTCTGCACTCAGATGGCCAAGTGGGACAAAGTCTTCAAGATATACAAAGACCTTTTGAATGAAACGTAATATTTTAAGAATGAGAAGTTAATTATTATCTTTTACAATAATTGAAACCATTTCATTAAGGCTTAGTCATTGTTATTTAAGTTCATAGTTTTTAAATATGAAATATTTTCACCTCCTTTCAGACCAGATGACTGGACGTTTTGGCTTAAATATCAAGATGCTGGCTTTCATATGGTGGAGGAACATATAAGTGAGAACAAGAGGTTGGTTATGAATTTAATAATTTTAGGTTTTAATATAAATCATGACCTCTTTAAAAAAAAGTTATTAACTCTAAATCTTTAAAAAAAAAAAAAATTTTAATTGGTTATGATTTTAGGGCATCTCACAACAAAATTTAAAAAAACTTCAAATTGACCTAGTCTTCTATTTTAAGGCAAATTTAAAGTAATTAGTCTCTTCACTATGTCATTAATTCCAGCATAAATCAAGGAAATGTCAATATTTAGGATCATATCAGACCTGTTTACACTTACGATTTTGGCGTATAATGTACGATTTTGAGGTGTATGCATTAAATATGCTGTATGTTTATTTTTTACTATTAAGATAATGTATTGAATGATATTGTACGATTTTAAGAGTTTGGGGGTAAACAGGTCTGCCATATTTTAAGATTTACTGTTTTCTGATTATTTAAAAAGAAATTGAACTTGATTATTGAATAAACTTTTAGTTTTAGAATATGCTAATCAAGTTTAGTATATATTCTTAACATATCTTTTTGTGGTTGATGCTAAGAATTAACAATTTTTCTCTTTTTAATAATTGAGACATTGCCAATGACAAGAAATGAATAATACATTTATTGAAACAATTTTATCAGTGAATTGTCAGACAGCACTTTGAAGGAAATGGATAGCTTCATAAAGGAGAAAATTGCAGCCATGAGTGATGGCGTGCTATTGAGGGGGCCCTATCTTGCTCAGATTGAATTCAGGAAGCAGCTTCTGAAAAGAAACTGGAGTTGTCTGGAATCACAAGGTAACTGCTGGTAATTTTATTTTAACATTTTTACATTCTCCAATACAGTGATAAATATAAATTTATGACACTGAATCAAACATTTATTTCAGAAGATATTTTGCGATTGTTACAAGATTATTATGACAAGTTTGGTCACCATTCTTGCTGCTACAGTGATATGAGACTGTATGTGGACTTCCTGACCTCTGAAGAAGTAGACAAGGTATTTCAAGCCCATTCATTAATTCTCAATAAAGTTTAAAATTGTTACTTTATATAAATAAAATAATTGTTGTTATATTTTATGCAAATATAAATTATTTTCAAATAATTTATCATATTCTTATATCAATTTCTAACGAGTTTTTAAAAGGTATTTATATTTAAAAAAGTAATTAAAATTTAAAAATAACAGCATTTTCGTATATTTCAGCTCATTGAATACATGAAGACAAAAGTTGGACTAGATAATACAGACGATCCTCTACAGTATCCAGACAATGTGCGGTTTACATATGTTTGGTAGACAGTTTTTCGAAAAAAAATTATTATTCTGTAAGCTTGTATTAGTATTAGAAAAGTAACCACATCTATCTGTTGACTGAATAAGAGGAACTACAGCTGCCTAATTGTAAGTGTTATTCATTGGTTTTATCTCTTTGTTCAATGCAGGTCAAACAAATGACAAGACACCTTGTGTATATTCAACTGTCTAGAACCATGGGAAAACATATCATACTTTCAATAGATAATGCTTTAAGACTATCTAAAGATCTCTTGTTACGGTATCAAGATGGACTCAGGTTTGGTAAGTATTGCAATTGAAAATGTATAGCATTTGATATTTTTTCTCTTTCTAAGTTATGATGGCCAATGATTAATATTGAAACTCAAGGAAGGTTTTATTAAGTTGAGGCAGAACATAATACTCTGTCCAGATATGATAACCATACAATACTATACCAATTGTTTTGTGCTGTCAAAATGTTTCTTTATTAATTTTTAAAAATCTCTATAAAAAATTAATTGATTTCAGAAAATTTTGGATAGAGAATAACATAAGAAAGGGCTAGATGAGATGCATTGCTTATTTGCTTACAATTTGTACTTTAAATTTCTAAACAATAATTTTTTAATCAAGCTGCTATTATATGAAGTTAAATGCAAATTTAGCTGTCTTATTAGAAGATATTAATACCAGACTGGGAATTGAAATGTAGAAATTGCTTTGACTCTAGGAAAGGATCCTCCTCTTTTGGTCACTGACCTACAGTACAGTGATAACTATTTATTATTGGCTGTCCATCTACTTTTGGATGTCTGGACAAAGACAGGTAATCTATATGCATTGAATTTTGTAAAAAAAAGTATTTTATGAGTAAAGATTTTGTGCTGATTCAAGCCTTAATAATTTTTTCATGATCAAATCTTGCATTTCTTTTCCTTTATTGGACCAAGTTAATGAAATAGTACCTTTAACATAAAGTGGGGGGGGGGGTTAAAAAAAAATAAGTTTGAGTAGTCATGTTACAATTTTAATTTGACCTACAGGTGATGACATCCATCTATGGCGAGCCATCGTACACTTGGAGTTGGGTATCAGAGAAAGTAAATCAAACTACCAGATTAAACTTTTACTTATCAGACTCTACTGTATCAAAGGTAAATCTAATTAATACACAGCTGAGTTTAAAAAAAACAATTTTTCTTTATTGCGCAATCTATTTTTAAACAAGGGACATCAAACACTTGTCCCTTATCTCATGATGAATTGAACATTGTTTTTGCAACTAATGTTCCTATTGACTTCTGTCTCATTTTCATAGGTACCTTATCTAACTTATTGTTTCGACTTAATAGACATGAAATTTTGTCTTTTTCTCTAAAGATATGTTTTTTTTATTACTATCAGGTGTATTCGGCCCATGTCCTAGCTTATATGATAGTATGGAAATAAAGCATATCATGAATGATACAATGGGGTAAGAAGATGTACTATTCTCCTTTTTTCACCATAGTACAATATATTGTATAATGATATATTTTCACTAAACTTTTCCCCCTAATTTATATTTACCCTACGGACATACTTACTGTTTTAAAATTTAAAAGTAATAAATAAAAACATAATTGAAAATATATTGCGATTATATTTTTTTTATTTCTTTTTTTAGATATATTGTCTCTAATCATGTGATACGGTTAGGTCACTTCATGGAGGCTGGAACTATGTATAATACCTGGGTGCGCTTTTTTGATATTAATCAAAAGGAGGTTAGTATGTTACATTTCTAGTAAACAATATAATTTTTAAAAATTTGATGTTTGCCAAATTTTTCAAATATGACATTTCATGTCAGGTAAATGGTATATCTTGATTCCAAACTGATATTAATCGTATGTGGCAAACTGTTGCCAATTGGCAACATTATCCTTGTAAGGGGCATATAGAAAAGTTAAGAGCTATGTAGCCTCATTATTGCAGTGTCCCTTTGCCATAGTCTCCCCTACCATAAAAATGCAAACTCTTCAATGAAAAAAGTAGTTAAGAAAATATTTTTGGTTTATTTTTTAAACACAATTTTCATGTTATTGTAAGTTTTTAAAAATGTAATAATTGTTTATAAAAATATCAATTTTAAAATACATATATTCATCCAATCATCATATTTTAAAAGTTTTACATACTTTACTAGATTAAAAATGGAATGTGGCTGTTTTTAACTGAATAATTGTTTGGTTTGTATGAAAAAATCTGGAGCTCTAATCTCTTACATTTACATACTCTACTTGCTTTAATATAATAAATTTTTTTAAAATTACCTTTATTCTTTGCCTATTTCAGGCATCAGAACATCTGATGTCGTCATATAAGTTTGGGTCTTTTGGCAGAGTAAGTTCTTGATGCCTGCATAGACTTAAGTCACTTTATGGATTAAATACTTCTTAGAGAATAGTTTCAATTCTATGTAATGTTATTTTAAGCCTCCAGCTGCTAAACCTTATATATTTGGGGTTCTGGGGAATATTTGCAGATATAAAAGTGGACACATTTTAAAAATTTTATATCATATTAATTTGAGTTATTCCAAAAAAGCTGACTGCAGATAGTTATTGATTACCTGTACTATATTATCATTCTGAGAAAATGGTACTGTAATTGTATCATATGACTTGGAAGATGCCCACTTCCATTCCCCTTCTTTTTTGAAGGACTTGATCTAGTGACCTTATATTTTAGTTTACATGTGTTTTAAACTTGAGTTATCACCTTTATTTCTGGAAATGTTGGACTGTTGTTTTAAATTATAAATGTCTTTAAAAACACATAAATAGTATATTAATAAATTCAAATATTTACCTTTCTCTCTGTTTATTTTACTAAGCTAACCAAAGTTCAATAAATAAAATCTTTATTAAAAATTTTTTTAGATTCAGGAGTTTGTTGAGTTTCAAGAGCGACTAGACAATGCCTTACAGTATCACAGTGCCAAGACAGAGAAAATGCTTCTCAATCTCATTATGCAAACTGATCGCCACGAGACAACTGAGACAGCTGTAGAGTCCATGAATGTCCATCCACTGACTGATACACGTAAGTCTTAAGGCAACAAGCAGTATGTCATCTATATTATACATTTATGACATTAAATGCTATGACATTAAATATATTACAATTTTCTCAGACTGGGTAATTTTTGAATGCTATTAAATGAATGAAGCTTCACCTTCATGGAAAGACTAAAATTAGCTTCTTACATCTACATAATATTTTGACATTGCTAATCAAACTCTTTCTAACTCTGAATTTTTATAAGCTAATGTAGAAGTTCCTGATAACATTTTGTAGACCATTTTTAAGTTTATTTTACCAAACCTTATTATATAAAAGAAATAACTGGCTGCTTCGAAATGACCTCCTCATTTTATTTTAGCTGTTGACCATTCCAAACTTCGTGATAACAGGGATTTGACAATTTCTCTGTCCTGGGATCCACCTAGTTTGTAAGTAAATATTGTAGTCGTAAAGTAATCCTCAAGTGTTGGGCTTAAAAAATTCACTTTAGACCTTCATTAGAATCAATTGGTTTCATTATTGGCATTCATCTCTTTTCTGCCTAGTGCCAGGTCAAGCTTGGGAGTCATTGCTGGTTTATGAAATTCAGTGATTCTATATCTTTAAGATCTGTTTAAAGATAAAACTTTGGCATTCATATAGCAGACCTGTTTACTCTTATGATTTTGGCGTACAATGTACGATTTTGAGGTGTATAAATTATATATACTGCACGTTTTTTTTCTATAAAGAGAATTTATTGAACGATTATGTGATGATATTGTACGATTTTAAGAGTTTGAGGGTAAACAGGTCTGATATAGTGTCTTGTGCATTTCTTTCGACTTTGTAGAAGACTATCCTACCTTTTTTTTTCCCCCTTTACTTTAAGGAAATTTTGAAAGCTTTGAATTAGCAAATGCTGAATTATGTGAGAGAGTAAAGTACTGTTAACTAAGAAGTTCTTAAAATGCACTGAAAAAAGAATGAGCGTAATCAGATTCCTGATAGTCTTTTGTTGGTCCCAGGGGGTTGACAGGCAAACGTAAATGTTCATTAAGTATAGTTTTTGATTTACATTTTGAAATAACTTCTAAAATGAATAAAATAAAATAAAATGTGCACATTGTGTAACTTAATTTTGTCTGCCTAAGGATATTATTACAATAATTATTTTGTTTTTGCACCAGACTACTTCCAGAGGACAATAGAATGAAGTCTGTAGAAGAGGAGGTAGGTTTGCTACATGGTGCTTGATAATTGAATATTTCTTTAGAGCAATAAGAACAAATATTGTTACTTGAACTTAATTATTTCAAATAAATAATAATTACATTAAAAACAAAATTAACAGTTTTTCCAATTACAAGATGGTAGACTGAAAAGAATCAAGATTGCTTGATTAAATTACTCACTCAGTTAAATTTTTTAGACTCCTAAAAATAAATAAATATATATCTGGTGGAGTTTTACAAAGTTCTTTAGAAACTTGAAGTATTGAGTTTGATGATTTGATGTATCTATTCACTCATCACTTGTTTCAGGAGTCATGGCTACATTTACGCTGGACACTACTACATATTTTGCTATTAGCTGTGATGGTTGGCAGGGATATAACAAACAAATCAGTTGTCAATGGCAACAGTGATTCAGGGGAAGATCACAAAAAAGATAAACAAACTTCACTAGAGTTACTTAAGAAGCGTCTAGATGAACTTCAGAAATATGCCCATCAATGTGAGAGATTTAAAGAGCCCAGGCAGGTAAGGGTTAAAGATGATTATTAAAATTAGAAATAGACAAAGAAAACAAATATATTTCTCATTTTTATAAAAAAAAATCAGTTTTTGCCAGTGAGTTACATCTTATGAAGTTTTACCATTTTTAAAGGCTTCTTATTTAACAAACTTAGAAATTGTTGATCAAGTAAGTGGCAATATTTTTTTTTAAATCTTTATTTTTCCATAGTATCACATAGTTCAAGGTCCATTCAGAACTAGAATTTCAGAGTTTCTACAAGGCCCCCACATCAGTGCCATATCAATAATGGTGGATTGTGTAGATTATGTATATACCCTTACCAAGCTAGGCTTAGGTAAGTCCTAAATCCTTTCTGTGAACTTGTTACCTCAGTCTTGTTTATTTGAAAATTTATCCCAGTATATGATCATTGATTAGGCCCTGGGTATGACACTCTTACCAGCTGCTGAAGCTTCCTTACTTATGCTAGAATAAAAGAGGCAGTAAATGTTACGGCAGAAATTTATATATCATTTTATCGAAGTTATTTGTCTCAACAACCTATTACATTTATTTCATTTACATAATAAATATAATTTGAGTTTTCTTTGAAACATTAAACTTTTTTAAATGCTTATTTTGTTGATTTTTACTGTTTAATAAAATTTTTACCGGTACTTACGAATCAATTTTAAAAAATTGTTTAAAAACTATTTTAAAAAATTGTCACTTTTATTTTCATTGATAAAAATCAATGATATTAAACTTAATTTTTTTTTCCCAGAGGAAAGTAAACCTGAAAAAGAAGAATGCTGGACAAGAATGAAAGATTTTTCAAAAAGTGAGACATTAAAACAAAATGTTTGTACTTAAATTTCTTTACCAGGTTGTTACCATCATCTTGTGTATTTTGAATTATTTTTTCATGTTATATTTTCTTCCATTTGTTTTCCTAATTCACAGATCTCATCATTCAAGATGTTGGAAGCCTTATTAAAGAATCGAATGGTAAAAGGCAGTTAGATTCATCAGGATTAGAACAATTGGTAGCATCAGTTGAGGTTAGTAAATAGAGTACTTCCCATACTTTTCAGCAAAAAAAATAATGACTGTTGATCCTGTTTTTATTTAAATGTTCAGTATAATCTTGCAATGGCATACACATAATATTAAAGCAGAACAATGATTCAATCAAACTTAATTAACAAATCTTTCATTAAAACTTCATTTTAAATTGGTGTTGAGAGAATTGCTATATTTCTTTGGAGGTATTTAAAACTCCCATTTTGAAAAAGCTAACTATATTTATAAGTTTAATAAAAAAATAATTTCAATTATATTTTTTTTTCTAAATCTATGGGTTTTACAATTAATTACGTTAAAAAAATTCGAACAGGCACCTGCATCAATTTTAATTGCTGCTGATAGGTCATTTATATATTTATATTTAAAATTAGTAATGCATATTAATAACTGGCTTTAACTTTCAGAGTATATCTTATTTGACCATATTGTCTGGAGTGTGCAATAAAGGATTAAATCATCTGAAAAATAACTGGACTAGAAAATCAAAAAAAGGCAAAAGCCCCCCTGCTCCACAGGTAAGTTTGAGAGGAGTTATTAGGATAATTTAAAAAAAAAAAAAAAATGTATAGTTTAGGTTATATTTATAATGTTCAGCTTAATTTTGATTGTTAAAGAAAATTTAAATTGTAGCCTTGCCACTTGTTTTCAAAAAATTAAATTTAATTATAACTTTCAGCCTGAGACGTTTGTCAATTTCAATGCCATGATAACAGAGTTGTCTGCTGTGACCAAAGAACTTCATCAGATAGCCTCAAGTCTAGACCCAGTGTTCACATCTGTGGATATTGCCTCCTTAAGGCTTGCAGACATCCCAGAGGAAGAACAGGTAGAACTTAAAATTACCTACCCATTTTATTAAAAATCCTATGAGTATAAATTTTAAGAATCTTTTTGGCGCCACATTCGCCATAAACAGCAGCTTATCACTTAAATGTAAAATTTGTATGTTAAAAACTGCACTTAATACTTGTGTGCTTATTACTAGGTACTCCAAACCAATTTTTCAAACTAAACCAACATCATTTTTGAGTGTTTGAGATGAAAGATATAAGAATTCTAAGAATGTGGAAATTAAATTTATGACTTTATGACCATTATTAAGAAAGTTGTGCTATTTGAAAAAATTTACTCCGCTGCTTACCTTTTATGAAATGACAAAGACCCCATATTCATGAGTCATTATTTTAAAATGTATGTCACCTACACTCATTTCCTTTACAATAGTTACACAATACTATACAGAAAAGAAATAAAATATTTTTCAAGAGTATGGGAAATCAAACTATTGTTGTAATTTACTGAGGTAAAGATGGCATTTCGTAAAATTTTCAAATTTTACCAAGAGAGGCAAAAATCACAAAAATTACCTATTTTAAAAATTCACAAAAAAAAGTATCTAATTTACTCAGAAACATCATTCATATATCATTTAAAAGAGAATCAAAGATCTAGACAAGTATGCAAATAAGTACTTCAGACCAATGCAAATTTCACAAACAGCAAAATGGTCAAGGGGTGGTAATTTATTTCAAACTTTTTTACAAATGTTTCAAAATATACAAAAAATAATAAATAACATCCTATATGTTTGAAATCACTTTGGAAGGGAAGATAAGAGTAGTCTTCATATAAAATTAGCATACCTGACACCACAAAATACCATTGAATAATATAAACATTTGACCAAAAAAATTGTTTGTTGGAATATGACTTAAACTCCAAAGGGCTCAACACATAAACAAGATAAAAAAATATATTTTACAACAGCAAAATACAAATTTAAAAAAAGAAATGTGCAAATTTGGCAGCACAATCTGGGTGGATATTAGTAAATATCACTAAAAATAATAATTATTTACATATTACTTTCATTCTGAAATATTATTTTGAGTAAATTAGATAAATGGATAATATTTCCACTTAATTTTAAGTTATTAGATTTAGTGATGATCTTCTGTAGAAGAGAAAAATAATTTAAACACAGCCATTCAAAAAGTCATTCAATGGTCTCTTTGTAGATTTTAAAAAACAAAATTTGTAAAAATCAATAACAAAGACATTTGGTACTCCCTCTGACTAATGTTGACACTTCAAGTGAAAAGTTGATTGCTCTCTTTGTTACTCCAAAAGAAGATAGAGTGCAACTTATGCAATCCATATCTAAAGTTTGGCTCAGGAAAATAGCTATGTCCTAATCTTTATGGTCATTCAATTTCCTCAGAACTTTTTGAACCATGGGTCGGACGTTATATCCTCCTTTGATTTGAGCAAACCAGGATTCCAGCTAAAATAGGAATTAAAAAGGAAATGCATGACCAAAATTTAATTTTGAACAAGGATACTATTATGACTTTAAAAATAAAAATAGTTTGCAATAGCTTTCAATAAGAAGTAAGTGTCATGATCGTCTATATTATCACAGTCACTTCACAAAATGTTCTCTATTCTGAAAACACTAGCACTTCCACTATCATGCTAGCTAACCGCCGACTCTGTCCCTATCTCTCTAAAATAATTAACACACTGCCTTTTATATCCCTAAGCAAAAAAACTCTACACACCATAAAGCTCGACAACAGGAACCAACTTCAAGACCTACAACTCACAAAACAATCTCCCCCCACAAAACATTCATGCCCCTAAATCTAGTTCACAACAGTAATTACCTGCTCCCATGATTTGTCATTGGTTTCTCTTAATGTGTACAACTGAACAGTTTTTTGCCTATAACTAGATGGGGCAAAGCTGTCTTCCTTTTCCACTAGCCAGAAATGTTTTTGTAAGGCATCATACTTGTTCACCAGCAGTAGAATATAGAATACTCACAATTTACAAATTGTAACATTTTACATAGTTTTTTTCTTCAAATTTCAATTTATTTAAATATTGCTGGTGTGGACATGACATGAATATATATATATATAAACATAAAAAACGTAACATTTTAAATATACCAATTAAAGTTAATTATATGAAACCTTCATTAATGACGCTTAGAGCACCACCACTCAGCTTTTCAGTTTGAAATTGTTTACATTACCAATGCAAAACTATGTCACGTGACCCTTTCTTAAACTTAAATTACATGTAGTAACACAATATTTTTTTTTTTAATATTCAAAAATAATAATAATTTGAAGTATCATCTAAAACTTAAAGTTTTCTTTTGTTGGATAAAATAATGAGGAAAAAATAGATTCATTTTTAAAGATGGTTGGGATAGTATACAAACTAAATTGACTTCATGATGCTGAATGACTGAAAATTCGCAAAGTTGAGGTGCACTAATAAATCAGTAAAATATAAATATATAAAAAATACATACAAAAAGCATATGAACTGCATTTTTAAACCACTGTATTATTTAGTCTTTAAATACCTGCTAAGCGAAGAAGATCCGATAAAGCATAATTTTCTGTAACGACTGTCGAGTGAGTCGGTCATTTTCTGAGCTTCAGTCCATGCCGCGAAAGATCGGTAAAATGAAAATTTAGAGGTTCTGTTAGGGCAATAGGAAACGGTCTTGTAATACTTCATATTTTAGCATTGTTTTCGTATTTTTGTGTAAAAATGGACCAGCAATCTGCTCATTTAATTTAAAAAGCTGAATTCGTCTCAAATCCTATAGAAATCTCAACATTTCTCCGATAATTACCTTTTTCTTTTTACATTTCTAGTGCATTAAATACAATTTTATATGTACTAGGTTAAAAGGTATTCACCGCTGCATGCATGAGAGTAAATTCTGAGGTCATTCGTAAATAGGGTAAAAGCTCAACACGATTGAGACTACTGGGGTCATTCAACATTTCTTTGGTTGCTTTTTTTCAGCTGCAGCGTGGAGCAGAGCATTTGGTATGGAACAAAGTAGAACATAGCATACAGCAATCATCTCGTGAGATCTGTGAAGTCCTTCACCACAAACAGTTTTATCTGAACACCTTAATGCTCTGATTGTTATGGACATGACCAATCAACCTGCACCAGTCATTGTATTCCAAGATTCATCCTATTTTAAGCATATTTTCCCATTGGCCTTAACAGTATCACCAAAATATTCCAAAGGAAATTTGTTCCATTATTACATGAGAACGAATAACACTCGAAGTAGGATCCCACATGAAATTTTAACTGGATGTTAAAAAAAAAATAATAATTAATTGGTAATCCATTGTCACGTTATAGGATATATGGTCTGAAACTTATGAGCAAAGAATATGCGGGATACTGTTTTTAAATTTACTATCGATAATGAATACTTGGGATAGCCATTCCTATGGTTATGAATATTTTTGATAGCCATGAGACATTTCTAATGTCAAAGAGATGCAGAAAAATTAATGCAGAAGATAAATGTTTCCTTAGTTATTTTACTAGTCCACTGTGTTTTAGGTTTAAAACTACAATGATTGTGCCAGTCTATTTAATTGCAAGTTGCAACAATAAGCTGACTGGCATCAGTCCAACTAAAGCATGTTAAGTTTAATTTGTGTATGATTCATGATGTAAGAAAATGTATATAACCTGAGCTTTTTAGTTTATCAGTTTAAATAGGTCAAAGGGCAATAGATGAACAGGCCTGTTTGTGTTTCTTGTCTTTAAAAAAAACAAAAAAAAACTTGATGTATCTGATGTTCATGAATTGAAGGTTGTATTGTATACACCCCATCCTGCCATGTAGATAATGAATACTTCTAAATGAAATTGAATTATGCACAGTTGAAACTGGTCTACAACTTTGGATGGAAGAGAAACTGTCTATGTGCATATTTTTTCAAAGTTATGCTGCTGTTGGATTTTAGTAAAGAGTTAAGCGGCTGCTTAAATTTTTTTTTTTTTTTTTTTTTAGTGCAAATGACTGTTTTTTTTGTGATTGTTTCATTGTGTGGGCCGAATGGGTTATGACATGTTTGACAACAATTCCTTTTTTTTTTTCAAAGTTATGCTGCTGTTGGATTTTAGTAAAGAGTTAAGCGGCTGCTTAAATTTTTTTTTTTTTTTTTTAGTGCAAATGACTGTTTTTTGTGTGAATGTCTCATTGTGTGGGCCGAATGGGTTATGACATGTATGACAACAATTCCTTTTCCCTGCAGCACTGTCTATGGAGTATTCGTTAGTATTTAATTATAAATGTGATACACATTTTTTCTCAATAATATTTTATTCTTATACGAGATTTGCAAGTTGGAGTGAAAAAATCTTCTTTAGTTGCCAAAGAAATTTTTTTTTTAGAGAAATAACCAAATCTATGAAAATATAATTAAGTTTGAACATATTTTTATAACATTCATAAAAAATTTTCAAAAAGTATTAATTCTCCAGGTTATTATAATTTTTTGTTGTTAAAATTCTTGACTGTAGAGGTTTTGGGAGTTGTGACCAATGTTCCCTTTAACGCAGCTATCTCACAGACGCCGCGCATGACGCGCAGCAGTTTTGAGTATCTGCGCAACAAATTTCCATGTAAGTGTGTGTTTGTGGGCTGTAAAATTTTGCACACAAAAAAAATTGATGCTGTAAAACTTTGCACACAACTGTAGGATTTTGCACACGAACCAACACACCTTAGAGGTAACATTGGTTGTGACCTGATTAATTTGACTTTGAATCCACTTTAATGTCATTGATTAGTAGCTGGTGGCATGCAAAAGTTGTTACAAGCTTTAGTTAAGCTCATTAAGGACATATAGTTCATAAATTTAATACGGCTGAAACATTAAAGTCATCCAGATTAGAGTGTTTCAATTATTCCTCACGTTGAATATTAAGATTATCCTGGTGTATTCGTGACCATTCAGAACTGGCCAAAGCCAAACTCAGATATAGTGTTCAAATTTAGCATGTGTGTGTGTTTGTGTGAGCAGTGGGCGAGAGGGAGATTTTCATGTACAAGCAAAGTTTTCTAACAACAATTTTATTTCAGAGAAAACCTTCTTCTCTTCTTCTTTATCTTAAGGGCCCACGATCAATTTATTGATCATTTTGGCTCCTATGCATGTAGATGGGATTTGCAATGTTTCTGTTACTGGTGTTCATGAGGAAATCATGCACTAGGGGTTTGAAGGCTTGAGGCAATAGACACAAATGTGTCTAGTGTTGTCGCCTCAACCGTTCCTTTTGAAAGATTGTTCCAGTCCCTGATTGTTTTGGGCAGGAATGAGCAGCTCCTATACTGGCTTCTTGCTGGTATGAGCCTGAATTGGCTGTCATGGCCTCGTCGCTGTCTATGGGTCTTCATTGAAAAGGAGTACAGATATGCAGATTTGTTTTGTTAGTGAGTGTCATCAGGGAATGGGAGAAATAACATTTAGATATTAAGAAAACAAGCATGGTTTAATCTTAATTGGAATATTTTTATTGTCAAAACTGGACTGATCCTTGTTTTTGCATAATTCTAGTATTGTTAAATTACAAAATTCTTGTATTGTAACTGGTAATTGATTTGTGTAATCTTCATTTTCTAATTTAGGCATGTAATTTTAGGGGAAGTTAAAATCGAGTTTTCCTATTATATATAGTTTTTAAAAAAATAGACAATGGTCTCATAACCTTCTGTAATTGAAACAAACACTTTTATATCATTATACTGCACCTAGGTTGCTTCATACAGCTGCTTTTGCTTGTGCTGTCACCAGTAAGTTACAAACATTTTGTAAGAATGGCTTTGAACAAAAGATCAAACTGTGTGCTGTAAATATATTACTGTTTTTGTACTATCTCTGTATTGCACAGATTAAATAAGAGTGATTGATTGGTTTTAACACTCCAGGCTCCTTGTTTGATTTGTTTCAATTTTAGTTGCATCAAGCAGTGAGCTATTTGTTATATTACCCAAGTTCATTACATGGGCTCTATTGACAGTTTCAAAACAACACAATTCTGTGAAATTTAACAAAAAAATAGTTAACTGCTTTATATTTTAAATAAATATTGGAACCGTATATGTTTGGGCTTGAAAAGAAAATGCCCTTAACTTGAAGACAAGAAAAATAAGTTCTCTATAGTGTTATTTAAAATGCCTGAAATATTTTATGAGCCTTTACAGTTGGTTTAAAAATGTAGATTATTATTTCAACAAATGGAAACATATCTCTTGGTTTCAGTAGCGTAGCGCCCATAATACCCTCAGTACCAAGCAAAGGGAAATATAACCATAAGTTTCTCACTTAAAATTTTTAAAATTAAAAATCAGTGTTCATCCATTTGGGGAAAATATTAAAATTGAATAATTTAGGACCAGTCACGCCTACAAATACTTCAATGTCTACAGAGCATAAATGGTCAGACCTATCAACATCGTTTTTTTTTAATCATCTGACCCATCTGAATATAAAGAGACCCATCTGGAATATCAAGATGTTGAACTAATTCAATACTTTTATTTCCATTACTTCTTTCTCTATCTATTTCTGCAGCACTAACAGTTTGAAGGGATTCTAGAAAGGCAAATTTCATTGCACTTACATCTACTGTCTAAAAAAGTATGGATTCCAAAAAATCTAAGAGTAGAATCATATCAAGTGCACAGCCACCAAACCACAACAAGACAAAAGTTTCCTACAAATAGGCTGTTTGTAACTCCTTTGTGTTTACAGCGGAGTTTAGCAGTCCTTCGACTGAGGTGTAAGGGGCCAGAAAGCCTTAATGCAACTGAAAGGGTTAATATATGAAACTATCTCAAGAAATGAGCATAGGACAATACAAGTTTAAAATACCCACCTATAGCACCACGACAAGAAGGTAAGAATTTCTTTCAACGGTTACCTTGGTAACTAATGTCATTTAAAGTATAAAGCATTTCAGTTACAGTGATGCTAAGAAATGCCCAAACATTTGAATATAAAAAGCTGATAGTGTCTCAAAGGTGTTTCATATCTCTCTTTACTAACTATTTAAAAAAAAAAAAAACAACAGAAATTAGGCAGGTCATGGTAAACTGTGATCTGCAGTGATAAAAAGGAAACTGTTGATACTCCGAGTCTTAAAACTTAAAAACTCATTCAAGTGGATAATTCTCTCACCAGTAAAAAAAAAGTTATCACAGTGAAAAGTAAACTTTTTACTTATAACTTATTTTGTGGTTTTGAAAAATTAAATTTATACACAAATTGAAATGAAAATTACCGTAATCTAAATTCAAAACATAAACAAGTGGTGTTGATCCAGACTTTATATTGATTCAAACTGGTGTAGTAGTCAGGTTAACTCTTACAATATTATAAATTATTATACACAATGACCAAGGGGTCTTGTTCATCAGATGCATGTAAAAGACAAATGAATAGAGCTCAGGAGCTTACACTATGTTGTTGCTAAACAATCCTCTGTAATCCCGTAGGCGGCCAGTTCTTGTAAGACATTATCTAAATAATTAGGGTCAGGATAGCCATGGCCAGACTGATTGCCGTGGAGTTCAGTTTTGTGATGGATCTCATTCCATGTCACTGTGTTGGGTTCCCCTGTGGTGTGTGAGATGCCAATGGTGAACATGAGGCGACGCCTGAAGGCTTCCATCAGCAACTTGAGAACCTGTGTAGATAATGAACAGAAATGACATTAAAAAGGCTGTATAAGTATAAGCAAACATAAATTAATCTATCTCATGCCAACAGATCTATTGGTATCATTGATGTTCATTATAGGAAGGAAGGTTTGATGTGCTCTTCTGCATTGTAGGAAGGAAGGTTTAAGTTGATATATTCATCTATCGGCATCCTTCCTTCTCGTGAGACGATGGTGCATCACCGTTGGGTTGGGTTGCATTTTCTCGAGTGGCTGTGCAGTCCTATCCTTGAGTGACAGTCTTTACCACAGTTTTTACACACGAGTTCCGTGCTTCTAAATGTTTTGGCCTTTCTCCTAGCTCTTCTGTCTGCAGCCTCTTCCATTCTTCGCTCCTCGGCTACCATGACGCCCTCTTTGACAACTGTGCGCCACGTAGATCGGTCTTTTGCCTTACACTCCCAGTCACTTGTATGTATTTTGGCTGCTTTCATGTCCCTTTGACAGACATCTTTAAATCGCAGACGTGGGCGACCTGTTTTCCTCTTTCCCGAAGCAAGTTCACCATATAGGAGGTCTTTCGGAATGCGGCCGGGACTCATTCTTTTAACATGACCTAGCCATCTCAGGCGTCTTTCACTAAGGATTGTGAACATGCTTTGGGTATTCGCACGCATTAGGACCTCACTATTAGTCACTTTTTCTTGCCATTTAATACCAAGGATGCGACGCAGGCATCTCATATGGAAGCTATTAAGCTTGCGCTCTTGGGATGTATAGGTGGTCCAAGTCTCGCTCCCGTATAGTAGTGTACTGATGACACAAGCTCGATAGACGCACAGTTTGGTTTTCTCCGTTAGCTTGGTGTTTTGCCAGACCCGTTTATTTAGTTTAGCCATTGTGGCAGCTGCCTTGCCGATTCTACTGTTAATTTCTTCTTCAATGAACAGTGTATTGGAGACCTTGGACCCCAAGTAGGTGAAGCTGTCCACAACCTCCAAGTTTTCATTATCGATTTTTATGTTAGGTGGAGGTCGAGTGTCTTGGGCCATGATGTTTGTCTTTTTCAAGCTGATTTGCAGACCAAATTCTTTGCAGGCATTGGAGAAGCTTGACACGAGTTGTTGCAAACCAATTTCTGTGTGTGCTGTTAGTGCCGCATCATCCGCAAATAGTAGCTCGCGAATTAGGACATCTGTCGTTTTGGTCTTGGCTCGGAGGCGGGCAGTGTTGAAAAGTCCTCCATCAGCTCTGGTGTGTAACCAGATTCCCTCACTGCTATCCTTGAATGCGTATCGAAGTAGTACAGAGAAGAATATTGCGAACAGTGTTGGTGCGAGTACACAACCTTGTTTAACTCCGCTGCTGACTGGAAAGGCTTCTGACTTGGCTCCATCGAACTGCACTGTACTGCATATTTTCATGGAACTCTCTGATGATGGCAAGTAGGTGAGGGGGACAGCCGATTTTTGCCAGTATTTTGAATAGCCCGTTGCGAGTGACGTAATCAAAGGCTGATATATTCATGATCATGCAATTCTTGAACTTGCATGAGTAAATTAAATAGAAACTAAACAATCCTGTTAAAAAAAAACTGAAAAAAAAAAAAAATGTAAACAATGAAAAACTATAATCATTGTAGTCACATATATTTTGTTATTGCATACACAATATATCTTTGACCTTTACATTATGACTGGCTTTATTATGAATCGGCAAACAAAAGTAATTTTTTTTTACACATTAAGATAGGTGTGATCATTCGCCATTAATTCAGTTGGCATTATCAGTTATTATTCCTTTTTAACCATAAAAAGAATGACCTCATCAGATGCTGCATTGCTGCGAGTCAAGCTCAGCAAACCTTTTTTTAGATATGAAAATCACACCAAACACAACCAACTCGAATCCAATGAAGACAATGCGATCGAACTTATCGCAAATTAATTAGAACCAACAATTAGTTTACGAATGTGGCGTATCACTGGAAATAATGCTTATATTTTAATTACAACTAGATTATCCAAATGCAAAACTATTTGATGTAAACCAAAATGATTTTTTTTTTTTTTTTTCATGATTTGAAATTTGTCCTCTTCCCCGCCAACACCCATTTGCATGTAGGCTTGATTTGTATTAAATGGCACAAATCAAACAAAAACACTATGTTGCCAACACATTGTTAAAAAAAAATATGTAAAAAATGAGATACCACCGGGAGGCTTATTTATTTATCAATCAAACAAATTGTTAACAGTCTATAACACCTAGATCAGGGGTCCTCAAACATTTTAAAACAGGGTCAGCTGACTGTCCTGTATTCAGTCACTGTTTGGGGCCAGACTATACTTTGTAAATAACATGTAGAAATTTCTATGCACACTACCTGTTAAAGTGCTTGGTTCATCAGCCGCTCGTTACATTGTGAATTTTCAAAATTTGTTCACGTCACACCACACAAAGTCAATTCAAACACATGGGGGGGCAGACATTTGCACTAGCTAACCATGAAGTTTGACCACCATTGGTTGGTTATTTTTAGTTTGTGACACATTTTTTTTACATAGTGGGCAAACATACCGAAAATTAGGTACAGCAGCATAGCGGTATATTCGGAAATTACTGAAAAATCGGTACAGTGGTCTGGTAGGGTTAAGGTACAAAATTATATTACTGTTTATAATTTATTGTCCAAAAACAGTAAGACAATAATGGCTAATGCATAATCAGTACCAGGTACTTCAGAAACTCATTAGGATTAGATTCCATGTAAGGAAAACATATGGTATTACATTTATGAGCAGGTTAAGTAAATCTTTTAGCTTAACTTATCACGATTTGAATATTTTAGAAACAGATTCATGCACCCGGTGAATGCAGTCAGTGCTAGGGCTCTCACCTTCCGACCCTTATCACAGTCTGGAAGAAAGCCTTGTCTTGGGAAACCTCTGCAAGTGTAAGGCTGCCCGGGCTGGGGATGTTCTGGGCCCTGGTGGGATAGAAATGGTTACTGGAAATTTGATCGAAAGAAATTTTGTCGACGGTAAATTGATCGAACAGAAATTTGGTTGAATCTTTTTTTCAGTTCCACGTTAAAATTTTCGTCAAATTTATTTTGAAAATGCACTATATTATGTAGTAAAACAAAATAATGCGTTCAAAAAGAAATTTAAAGCAAATTTTTAACGTAAAAATGAAAAAAAAAAAGATTCGACCAAATTTCCGTTCAAACAAATTACCCTCGATCAATTTACCGTTGACGAAATTTCTTTTGATCAAATTTCCAGATACGGATAGAAATATCTTCACTTACTCTGAATCCAGCTGGCCACTTACACTAATTACAGAGCTACAAAAAAGATGGTTTTTCAAAATGTACTTTTAAGTGTCAGTTTCTTCAGAATAAATAGCATGGCTGTTTTAGCACCTTACGTTGAGTAACCATTACAAAACGGTCGCATTGAGTAAAAAAAAAAAAAAAAATCAACGCACATGACCTTTCCCCTGTTACAGTGAAAAGTAAGGTTACATTAGGTGACTCAATAACTTTGTCAAGTAGGATTATAATGAGTTCACTTCGAATCTGACTTACATATTACTCTACTACAAGTATAATGAACCGAACAAATGGCTGTCAGTCAAATTCATTATCTAATTAATTTTTAACAAAATTGCTGTGTAAGAAAACAACTTTTCAACATGTAACTGATTAACTACCAGATTGAAAAACCCGCTGTGGCCAAATTAAATCTAGATCACATTTTCTCATTTTAGGTGTATCTAAAAATTATCTGTAGTTTTCTTAATTACCTATAAACATATTCTAATGATTAATAAACCATTTTATAGGTAATTTAATTGTCTATAAGATAACGTAAAACAATTGTAGAGTTAAGTTTTGTTAGGAAACAAGCAATTGTTAAATTAGTATTTAAAACAGAAAAACAATAAAAAATATATAAATGTGCCAACTTATATATACATTTTAAATTTCAAAATCATTTAAAGCCTTTTATTTGGTGGTTTCCAAATAGTATATCCAATAATAAGAAATATGCACCAAAGGACACAGAAAATGAATAATATTTACACTTCCAATCACTTATATTTCTTTAGTAGCCCTGCTGCTTGTTGCCACGTAAACAAGTACCGGTAGTAAAATTTTGTGTAACTAGTTTGGAAATTAAATACAAATTAATTAACAGTTCGTTTTTTTAAATATTCTGCCGATAGCACGCGGTTTGAATATAAACATCCAGTCAGTAAATTAAAATCTCGAAGCAAAATATAAATATTTGACTCGATTTACTATGATACAAACATTGGCGCTACCAGCGGTTTGTGGCCATAAAGGAAGAAATGCTTAGCGGCTCCCAGCGGCTGCTGGTAGTTAACCAGTTAAGTGACAAAAATCTGACTTTAAACAAACAATTTTCAATAAAAAGTTGCGATAACCCCTTTATGAATGATGACACAACATGATAGGATGTGGGTGTGGTGAAGGGGAAATTATTCATGAATTTTTCTTTTTGCTATTTTACATTATATGGAGGCCAATCGGCATCAATTAAATATAAAGGTTAAATTGGAATGATGGCAAACAAAGGTGTTGTATCTAAAGTCTTGAGTGATAGGTGACAAAAATTTTCTTTTTCTTTACCTGTATTCCAGATGACAAGTGGTAGGTGACACATATTGTATTGTAGCCCTCGTAGCCGGCCAAACTGTTCCCTGACATTATTTTCCAGCTCATGTTTCCTGGAGGACATATTCCAGTCTTCTCTCCATAGATCATCTTGCAGCTTGGACACTGAAGGCTGTCATCCTGGGGGAAAAATAATCACACAACAAACTCATGTCGGAGCCACAAAAAAAAACATTTTAAGTGTTGGCAAAATTAAAAATAAAAAAATGTCCAAGCTCAAAGTAATTCTTGCTCACTTTCAGTCACAACAGTCAGCAACTTTAAAAAGCTTAATCAATGAACATTTAAAATCATGCAAAACCTTTTACTTTTAGACTCTCTCACCTCCTGCCATTTTGCTGAGCTTTCCTAATCAATAAGATGTTTACTAGTATGTTAAAAAGACACTTAGTAGATGACCTGTGCCAAGAATTGTTATGCAGGACCGCCCCCACTTGCGACCGCTCGATCGGATACAGGAATGGAGGCTTTCCCCACCCAGGGATGTCCGGTCGACCGAAAACGCTGCAATGAAAGTGTTCCTAGCTGACTCTCCCAGGGAGTCGGGATGGTAAATTTACGTCCTAATATCTTTCCCCACCCATCCCGGGGAAGTGTCAGACACCCTTTATGACGGTTTCCTATGGTGGGTTTTCACCGCGCAACTAGTTTTCCAAGTAGCTGGGACGAAACGGTCGCCTAGGAGTAGCGTTCTTGGGGCTGCGTAGTTAGAATCATCGGCTTGAGGTTTCCATCTTCGCCTCTACCCTCATATCCATTAACGGCAACTTGTAATCATGATCCCTACCCTGTCTCTGCCTTTACTTCCAACTGTGAAACTTCACAATTGGCAGCCCTGTAGGTGCTGTTTTATTTCCGGCCGGTACCATACCATGCATGCCCCTTGTGTGCCCACGCAGGACACACAAAAGTGGTTTTGTTCCCCGGGTTGACCCCGAGGGGGTCTGGTGGCCGGCGCATCCTAATCGGCAAGCCACCATAGACTTGTCGACCGGAGCCCTGACAATATAAGAAGGCCTGACCAATCACCGGCTGAATATATTACGAGAAGCAACTGTCATAAAATCTGCATGATTACACATCTTTAAGGATATCATTTGAACTCTACATCTACATCGTGTAACACGTTTGACCTACTTTGTGACTTGAGTTGTACATAGTTAACAAACACAATTTATGAAACTGATGGCTGCATCGGCTCAACTGGATGGCCTCGTACGCCTCTGGATGACCATCACCATAGCTGGATGCCTCACTGAGTTTATCACAACAGATAGCACAGTCTGTTTTGTCCAGGTCGGTGTGCACTTTGGTCATGTAGCGACCCAGAACTTCTTGTCCCGACATGGCTGTGGAAAAGTGGATCAAGAGATTTCAAGAAAAAAAATAAAAATAGAACTGGTGTCACATTTTTTTTAACGCCATTTACTTTTTATAATAAAATATTTCACAGCTTTAACACGTGAGCAGCCCAATGGTAACAGAAAATCTGGGAACTTGGCAGAAGGCAACTGAGGCAGATTTAAGCTATTTCCCGAAGCTCTTAAGTTAATGGGAAATACTTAGGAGCCCAGGAAGAAAGCTCTGATATAGAAAGAACACATTTACACAGGTCTGTAAAGTTTCATTGCCCAGAAGTCTTAGCCTGACACTTTGCAATGCTCCAAAAAAATAAAGCTGGAAAAGTAGTTAGTTGCAATAACCTTTACATCAGATTTCACATTAAAAAATATGTAACAAAAAGTCAGAAATGTTAAGATGGCATTTTCTCTTTCTCAAAGAATTGGAGTACAAAATATTTATGACCTCCCTTTTGCTGATAAATTATAAGCTGGTGATTAAATTTAAAATGTTGTGTGAATCCATCAGAATCCATCAGAATCCATCAGAATCCATCAGAATCCATCAGAATCCATCAGAATCCATCAGAATCCATCAGAATCCATCAGAATCCATCAGAATCCATCAGAATCCATCAGAATCCATCAGTCATACCAAAAAATTTTCTACAAGAAAAAAAAAAGAGGAGTCCACACACATGATATGGACATACACAGCATTGTCCACACAAAGGTTAGAGTGACTGTCAAAGCTGTGTTGTACTGTGTACTGTGTTGTTGATCCCCACTCTACAGTGTCAGATAGTGCAGTATTAAAAACAGGCTGACTCAGAGCAGTGACTAACATTTATATCATAAAAATGACAAATTGTTTGAAATGGCACCCTCAGAAAACATCAGTTTGAAGTTGTAAAAAATTTTTAATTTTTTAACAATTTTAATGAGCGTAAAAATCAACAGAAACAGACTTAGCCAAGCGGTAACGGTAGTGCCAAATCTCTTCTTACATTTACAAGCCTTGTTCTTGATGGTGATTTTGTGCGTGCTAGGTAAGGTTTCTGTTAACGGCTGTGGCAGAGATTGCAGTAAGGGATGGTATTCAAGATGAGGTACTGAAAATTGGGACAGGGATGTTGAAGGCGCTTGTGACTGGGGTAGTGTCAGGGGGGTATAGTAGACTGATGGCATGGCTGAAAATTTTTAAAATGTGAATGGTTAAAACTGCAGTTTTCTAAAAACTAACAATTTAAATTTTAAGAATAGTAATCCTACACATTTCCAGTGTTAATGAAACTAATCATAATAAATATTTAAATATATAAACACACAAAAAGAAAAGTTTCTTTTATTAATTATTAGAAATTAAAATTTGTTTTGACAAAGTACATATTCATTTTCAACATAATAAATAAAAAAATAAAAAAGACAGTTAACAAAAAACATGAAACTTAACAATTACATTTTTTGTGGGGGGGGGGACAACTTTTAATTAAATTTTTTGAGCACAAGAACCATGCAAGCTGTGTTCTACTGTGAACTGTGTTGTTGAGCCCTCTCTACAGTGCCTATTAATACTTAAGAACAATGACATGATTCAAGAAATAATCAATTTTTATATCTTAGTGTCCTTCCTTTTAGCCTTCACTGTGCTGATATTAAGTAGATGTGAAGCATTTGGTGGGATATGCACAATCACTTTTTAGGGTTTAAAAATGTATTTTTCTTTATATATCTCATCAGGAAAAGGTGGGCTTGTATTTGCTATGTCAACATCAAAATATGTAATTCTCTACGTAACAGTGTCGTTAACGCCACCAGATGGAGCTGATATTACTAAATTAAATTTCCAATAAATGTGCTAAATGAGATTCTTAAAAATACAGCAAGTGCGTTTGGTGCGTAATATTTCTTTTGGTTTATGGAAATATTCTCAATTTAAATATAGTGTCACAAATCTACAGTATAAAGACAGGGTGGGACTTTGAAATATTAATTTGGTTCAGGGGCGTGAAAAAAGCTGTGGTTGCAAACCTGGAAGGGTGATAAGAAAGCACTCATTGGGATTCTTATAAATTGCATTACTTGAATGCATGTCTTTGGCAAGTAATTTTAATCGATGGGACGTTTCAGGCATTGCGGCTGCCATTGTTTGGCGGGCTGTAGCTAGTAGAAATATAATTATATTATAGGTAATTTTAACATAGATGCTTTTTTTTAAAAGTGCAGATTATGCACTCTACAAGATTCAATAAGAATCTTACATAGCTGAAAAGGTTGATGTAACACACACTTCAAGACTTAATGACAACCCTACCTAATGGAAAAGGATGAAACACATTCATGTTGGACACCATACCCATCTGACCTGTGGTCTGACTTTGTGATTGCATGCTGTGCTGAATTTTTCCTATGGTCATAGTGCCTAATGATTGATACTGTGGAAAGTTTATCACCAAGTTATCACCAAGTCAATTTGTTTTTTTTGGACTGTCCTTAACAATCATTCTTTACAAAAAACATTTTAGAACATTTCTTCTTATTTAAATCTAAGGTCAATAAAAATAAAATTATCATTTTCTTTACAAAGGCAATTCAGAAAGTAATTGATTTTATTGAGAAAAGAAAATGTTTTTGAATTAAGAATGCTTCCTTCCCCAGATGCAACTTACTACAGACTGTGCAGAGCTGCTCTGCTGAGATTGATCTTGTGTAGAAACTGAAAAAAAAATTATTTTTTTTTAAAAATGAGATGCTTAAGTTTTAATTAATTAAAAAAAATATTGTGAAAAACAAAACCAATGAAATAATTATTTGAACTTTACAAACTTAGAAGATAAATAAATTAATAACTTAGTTTTTGCCAGGAAAAATTAATCCAAATAATGAAATAGTGTCTAAGTAACAAAACTATTTTGTAGGGTATGTGAATTACGATAAATAATTGAAAAATTTGATATATGTGTGCAGTTCTATAAAAATTAATGAAAATTAAAAAAAAAATCAAGTTGAAGTCAATAGAGCAAAAAGCTCTGATGTTTAAGTCTGAAGATAGATTTATTCTAATTTATTTTATACCCAGCAACTGTAACTGCACATTTCCTATGTGCAACTAACTGCAGACTGCATAGACTGATGATTTTTATATAGCTGAGAACTAATCAATAAAAGGTGACCTAAAAAGATAATTAATCAATACAATTTGTTGATTTCAAGCAAAATATTTTTTTTAATTGATAAAATTAAACATGAATGACAACTGACCATATTCCAGTAATAGTGACAATAAGAATTTCTTTCTTTTTTGTTGAACATAACTGACCTTTAGAAAGATGTCCATTGCTGTTGTATGGATGGTGCTTTGAACCCGATGTACTTTTTTTATGTTTGACCTTGCCATTGCTCGCCACAGCTTGACTTGAACTACTCACACCTGGTTATAAACATACAGGTTATTAACTTATTCTACAGTGCAACGATTCGAAGCCTACTTCAGTATTACCTGCAAGAATTATTTAATGAAGAAATGCAGTTGTAAAACTAAACAAAAAAATTGGATGATACATTTCACCCTTTTCATCAAAGATACCTAAGATCAGCTTGATCAGGGTGAATTCCATCTCTTAAAGTTAGGACCGAAAAATATTCACAAATTCTTTGTTTCCCCCGTTTGTATAAATTTACCAGCGTGCTGCCCCAGCAATTACCAAATCTAAATAATCTAATTAAGTCAATATTGTCACTAAGGGTGTTCATTGATGGCTGATTTTTACACTAGAGAGTATTTTATATGTATTGATTTAAATTGTAACATTTTGTCTAGGTTAAAATAAATATTTATTTATGTGCTGAAAATGAATATTTAAATGTAATAAAAAAAAAAATTCCTTTCATTTGGATCAATAAAAGCAATCTTATCTTTTAAGTACCTTGCTGGCATCTTAAAAGTTATCCTCACATTTTCAGGACATATTTTTAGTTCAATTTTAGCATGTGATAAGTCATAATAAAAAAAAGTCTTGTACATCTTTTGCAAAAATTTGTTTATTTGAGAAATAAGAAATCTTCAGCGCTAATTTTTTTTTTTTTGTGTGTGGACAGTTTTAGTTGGTTTATTAAAAGTGGTTGAGAAATTTATAACCAAAATGATGACACTCAATAAAACTCTGAAGATACACAAGCTTAAATCAGACCACACAAAACAATCTAGAGAGATAATTTTTAAAAGGCGCCAAAATTAAAGGGATCAGACACAGTTCAATTTTATCTTATTTTTACAGCTATATTTATATCCACATCAAACTTACACATTTGCATTAAGTCACTTTGGATTTATAAATCTCTATACATTTTTTACATTGTTTACTACCCTCTCGAATTATGCCACTTGTGTCAGAGGCATGAAAGCAATATGACTCTGAGACATCACCATCTCATCATGATGTTCTTGTTAAATGAGAATCAGTTGAGAAACTTATTTATTTGATGTTACTGCTGTTGTTTAAACCTTTTCGTACATAAAAGAATCAAATATTTTCTGGATTGTTCTGTTAATTTGTTTCTGTAAAGCAAGAAGTCAGTGATTCAACTTAATTTAGTATTTGGACCTTAACTGAGTGTGACTCTCAGTTACTGAGTGTTTCATCTTAATTCAGTGTTTAAACTTAATTCAGTTTCTCATCTTAATTCTGTGTTTCAACTTAATTCAGTGTTTAAACTTAAGCCAGTGTTTCAATTTGAGTCAGTTTCAATTAAATTCAGCTTTGGATCTGGCCCTTGTGCCTTTCTTAGCTTTAGCCAGTGGATTGGACACTTCGGCCATGTTTAAATATCATGATTTCCATTACTACTCATCTATCGCCTTTTCTGGCAATTAATATGTTGAACAAAAGCTTAAACACTTTGTTGGATATAAATTTACAGTATATCTGGTTTGTTCAATTATAAAAAGGAATATAATATTTGTTATGCAAAATTTTAAATAATTATTATTGTTTTGAGACACAATTTACTTGAACAGCTAGAATGTAAAAGTTGATAGGTCATACCTTAGAACAACTCTGAATGTTGAGAAAATAAATACTCACCTGAACTGTATCCAGAGAAGGTAGGTACTGGCGAAGCTGAAGATAGGAAGGATGGCATTCCGCCAGTAGTGTCTGCTGAATATGATTGGTTCAGAACTCTACGACGTATGTTCCTTTTGGTCCCAGTATTAATTCTGATCTGACATTTTAGATAAAAGATTTTAAGACATTAATTTCAGCTAGGCTCTAAACTAGGAGCCAAACAAGGTAAAATTAGAAGATTCCAAACCAGCTCTTCCCAATAATTGGAAATATGCTCAGATCTGTGTAGCCCAGAACTCCTAAAATCATACAATATTGTCTCAAAATCGTACTATACAGTATCTTAATAGTAAATAAATATACATACAGTATAAATATTGAATGCAATAACTACTGGCATCGCAGTGCCTATTGGGATTGAGTTAAGCTGGTTTCAAAAAAGTTAACTTCTAAAAGTAGATGACCAACATTTATATTGCAATCTGTGGTCACTTTGTTTTGCAGACGTGCATTTGCTATAAATATTAATTTATAGTGAGAGGACGTACAAATCACATTATCACAGTCTGTCACTGGTAAAAATAAAGTTACTGGTGAAATTTAAAGTAGTTCAAACTCGAAGAGAGATTAGCATAAGATAGAATGTATTTAAATAAGAGCTAATTAACAAATAATAACATCATTTTCAAAGCCTGCCAAGTAATTTGAGATTTATTTTTTAGGAACAACTGGTTTTAAAAAAAAAATCAATATCCACTAATCCTTTTCCCACTAACATAAAATAGTCTGATATTTATCACAAGCTATAAATGGGTGAAAGAAAGAGGAGTGTTGGAAACATACGAGGATATTAAAAATAATTCTCGCTGGGGTTCGTCGAACGAAATAATTATGTAACAAAATTGGGTCATACAGTACAGCAACGTAGAAGAAAAAGCAAGGATTGACTAACATTTTCACTAAGACGACTATGCTAATATTACAGTTGCCGTGTCTATTGAGGTAATTATGAAAACACATAAAGCAACACTCTTACCACTATCATTTCCAAAATGTAATGGTTTTAATTTTATAGACTTAAATATTTAGACCCTACACAAAATCTTCTAAATCAACACCACAGCCTTCCTCTCTCAGTACAAAAGTAATATTTGGTCCCCAACCAATTGTATTTCTCGATCCATTCACTGATGGATGCAGAGAGCAGGTTAACTAACAACCCAAAAGTTACTTTTTCATTATTTTTTAATCTGAAAAACTTAAAGGCATGTTTATATTTTCAACCTGGTTTCTTTAAATTGTAGTTGTGACAGGTCTTGGCGTAAAATCATAAAGAATATCTCAAAATCGTACATTATACACCAAAATTGTAAGAGTAAACAGGTTTGTAAGCCGATCAACAATGAGCAAACACAGAAATCAGTAGCTGGAGAATTTCAAAGTCTTGGAAAGTAGCATATCATGGTGAGAGGCCAGAATATCCTAATTCACCTCTCTTAAGTCTTAGGAAATTTTGCCAAAACATACATGCAAGCTGAATTCAGTTGAACCATTAGAAAAAGATTTTGAAACAGTTGGTGGCTTGAAAATTAATTTTAAAAAAATGAAGTACCTGAATCAAATTATTTAGGTCAATTCTGTATGGCAACCTAATCAGGTCAAAAACGGGCGAAGCCCCTTGATTAAACTTCAAAAAGGCATCGTTGATAAGTTCTAAAGTTTCAGAGTCATACATAAACCATTGTCCTGGATGGTCCCCTTCATACTCCCATATAGTGTTATTAGCAAGTGCTGAATTTGGAGGATGAACCTGTCGCTTTATTTGTCTGCATTTTCCTGTGAAGAGCGCACAAAATGATTTTATAAAAATATTTAACAAATATTTTTATGGACTTATGCACAAGAAAGTATGATAAAAAAATTTGCCATGAGTACTATTTGAATAAAAAGTTAAGTGTTGTTAAATAAATGAAGGAAGATTTTTCAGTGAAATCAATCAAAAGTCATTTACCATCTTATAAAACAGGCCTGCACTACATATGGCCCGTGGGCAGCAAGCGGCCTACCTGCACCCCCTTTGCGTTAACGAAATATTCCTTACTAGATATAGCCCGCCAAACATTGGCAACAGCAATACGTGAACTTCCCATCTACTAAAGTTACATGATAAAAACATGACCTCAAGTTACGCACGTTTAGGCATGTCAATTCTGCTACCCCCCCCCCCCCCCCCCCTTCATGATACATCATTGCACACTTTTTATTTCACGCCCAAGAATTACATAAATATAGCCGACCCACGGCTTAGCAGACGCTGCGAGCTCCACCGCAGTGCGCATGTCTCGAGACCAACGATGGGCAGGCAAGGGAAGGGAGGGTTTGCCTGCGTCTTGCTTGCTCTGGCGTATCTATATATAGCCTGCGTCGTCTTGTTGTTTACCCTACTTCTTATAGCGAATTATTTATATAGATTGTTTTGTAAATAGCTGTCCCCCCCCCCCATACTATTATCTTTTGGCCCGCACAAGTTTTTCATAAAGTATTATGGCCCGCCTTACATTTTGAGTTGTGTTGGCCTGTTATAAAATAGAACAATATTAAAATATTCAGAAATTAGAAAAATACATTTTTAAATGTACACCTTTCGTGTACCTCCAGTACCTGTGTTGATTTGTAATTGTTCAAGATTCAGGAGATCAATCTCATAACAGGATAAGGCTGGTGTGATTGTGCCCAGGTTTAATTTTGGTTGAGTCCTACTGGAATGTGCTTTTTCAATTTCCTGAGAAACATGGGGCTCATAAGCACTCCATAAGTTGTAGTCATTGCGATATACCCAAACCACTACACCGGTGACACTGGCAGCATTTAAAGCCATTTATATTGAAGCAGTTGAATTATTATTATCCACGACCAAGTCCTACGCTCTAGCAAAATGCCAATTCAATGTCCAAATAAAATAGCTGAGGTAAAGGCAAAGGTCTCTTATTAATTTCACTAATCACACAACTATTATAATAAATAATAATTAATTCCATACTAATAGTCAATAAAACTAAACTTATATATATTTTCATGAATTTCAATCATGACTAGGTCATACCTTTCATTAAAACTTCATGAAAGCCTAGAACAAGTACACTATTTTAAAAAAGAAATTGTACCAGCTCTGAAACTTATAAGTAATATTTTATAAGATATATAATTATTAAAAATATTATGATTAACTAAAAGGCATTGATTTCTAATTATTATCATTATCATAGGCTTATGTCTAGTGATTAAGACAATTTAATATTTAGGCTTTGTTTAGTTCATAACCAAGTGAGTGGGTGGGGGGCATGTTGAGCCCTAGGAATAATTTGGGCTTCTGAGGGTTCAACTTGTTATTGTGGGCCTGGCAATAAATTCTATGCTTCCTTTTTTCCACCTTTTTTTCTGACAACATGCCATTGTCATCAGATTAAAACATAATCTAACAAAAATATCAAAGCATTTAATAAATTTCAATAATTTCATTGCACAATATGTAAATAAACCCTCTACTGAGACTACACAAGGGAAGAGGGCCCACATATCTGAGAGACAAAATGTGGTTGCTAGGCACAGTTTTGCATTCAGCCCTATGTTTTGTTAATTGACAGTAAATAAATTTTTGCGCCATTTATCAATGAAATTAAGTCTGAATGGCCTATATATACCAAATATCTTTGAGTCAGTAGAAATATTAAACTGACCACTGCACTTTTCAGCCCGTGTATTGTAAATTCTTGTACATGAATTCATTATTTAGCTGAATAAATTGTACATTTTTAAATATTTTAAAATAAAGCATCAATGTACAAGTATTAAAGAAATAATTGTAATATTTTAAATTTTTTATGTAGTCTAATAAAGTAAAAGCTGTTGAAGAGTTAGATTACAAAATAAGGTGGTGCAATCCATACTACTTGTAAATAGAGACTACCAAAAAATTATAAATGGGCTGCGGCTACATTTATTTCGATTTATCAAACCTAGGCTTAGGCTTTTGTGAGGAGGGAAGCATTGCTACCATATTGTACTATATTTATGTTTAGGACACTTCTCATCCTACCCAACATTAGCCATTTATTAAATTAGTTTCAAACTTAGACTTAAAAGACTAAATTTATCTCATACTCTTATGCCTTAATTTGCATGCATGGCCATAGACGCTGATAGTAATAGTATAAGTATAGTATTTATGGGATATATGTCAAAATTTTTTTAAAAACAAGAGGATCTCGCACATGGTTGCCGCCTACTTTTTCCAATTTAGGTAGTTTCCAAAAACATCTTTGTTGTTTCTAAACTAGATTCAAGTAAATAAGACCCGCCCAATAATATAGTTTTAAAATAAGAAACACACAGACCAGAGACTGACATATCCATTATTGAATATAATTAGGCATCAACAAAGGTGGGTAGGAGTGGGTTGTAACTAATTTGAATAGTTTTATTAACTCTTATTAACCATAATCATAATTACAAAAATGCGTTAGTCTGTTAGTATAATTTATAATTCATTACTGAATTACTGAACTGCAGTTTTTTCTTCTTATTCTTAGTGATTCTTAGTCTTACTAAATAAGTGCTCTGGCTATGCAGCTCTTTTAAATTTATTCAATATTACTATCAATGACCAGCATTAGTAGGCATTATTTTTTATTCAATGTATTCATCATTCATTCCTCATATTTATTATTTATATTTAGGCCTATAGTCTATAGTATTTATTAATTATTTATTACTACGACTACGGCGACTACGGGTAAATTGGTAAATGTGAAGGGATAGCAGTAATGCGTTTTTTTAACATGGTGAACTTATGTCCTAAATCTATCCCCTAAACCTAACCTGAACCCATAAACTTATCCCTAACCTGAGTTTTACCATATCGGAACCAGGGTTTTGACCCTATTGGAACCAGGGACAAAACACGCAAATGATGTCAAGGTGATATCTCTTCACATTAGCCCGACTACGGCATGGCTTATACTTTTATATAAAAAAAACGCGTATAAATTTAATTTAATTTAAAATTAAAATGTTAGTGAGTGAAGACGAAGATGTTTCGGAAAACGGATTGAAAGAAAATTGCAATATTAATATGCTTAAAAAAAACAGGTTCTTTCACTTTCGTTTTCTTCTCAGTCTCTAAGAATCAAATCTTGACAGTTTCTTTTCGTGCTATCAAATTATCTTAATTCTTAATTAAGTAGACAAAACAAAACAATATGTAAAACCACTAATTGTAAACAGTGTCTGGCAAGTTAAGTCTAATTCCATAAAAATCTGTGTTCAACAGAAAATACAAAATAGAAATTCTTCTTCATATGATTATTTTTTAACTATTAAAAATCTCTTTTAATAATATTAACATGGATGAAAACTTTGGACTGGAATTTTCTGGTTGTTTTAATATTTGAAAAATATGAATAAACATCATTTGAAAAATTAATTACTAAGTCTTTTAGAATTTCGACAGGTTGTTAAAAAAAAAAAAAAAAAAAAAAAAATATTGTTTTTTTTTTTTTTTTTTTAAAAAAAAAAAAAAAAAAAAAAAAGTTGTGTTCTTGCATGGTTGTTTTCGTTCTTATTTTTATTCTTGGGACTCTCCCTGACTCCTGGACTACCATTAAGCCAAATTTACAAGTAGGCTACACTATAAAACATCGATTTTGTAAAATCAAAGAATTATTTTAATATAAAGGAAACATGTATTTAGACAAATATTTTACGCTAATCATTATAATCATTTGTAGAGTTTTTTTTTTTTTTAAATATACTTATACCCAACACAGTCAACACTAAATAAGTTATTATTTTAAGCCAGGTCCTATCACGGTGAATTGGTAATAGAGTAGTTCTCTTTTTATTTAGGCGCCCTAACTTAAATGAAAATGGAAAAGCGTTATTTTTATTGTTAGATTTAAAAAACAACAACTTATAATAATATACTCATGTCATTATTTATAGGATTTTTATAAGCCAAATGTCGTATTTTGCCCCCACCCCTTTTTTCCTCAAGTCAAGTTTTTTTTTTAAAAAAGTATTAATTAAACATATTGTCCGCGATCATAAAAGTACAATCCACCTATGCATCTTTTGTTATTCATGGCACCATTGCGGTATAGTATACAAGATAATTCAGAATTTTAAAATCCTATTAAAACACAAGGAATTGTGCTATTTCGAAAACAGTAAATATTTTTTCTATTTACTATGGTATATGTATTATTTTGATGTAGCCCAGTGTGCTAAATTGTGATTTTAAAATGCAGAAAAAAAAGAGAAATCCGCTAATGGAAAAAAAGTTTCGAAAATTGTGTAATATTTTGCGGAGCCGTTGTGAGGAAGGCGCGGCTCATCAGAACACTGCGGTGCACGCTTTGGTAACTTGGAATGGGAACCACTTACCTAGCCCTAGCTAAGTTCAAGTATATTGAATTGAATGATTACTTAGAATAAGAAAAAAACAAACATTTATATTCACATAAAATTAAAACACAATATCTTTAAATATTAAAAAAGAAGAAATTCTTGAGGAGCATTTCATTAAATTAATTAATTTTTAATTAGTCAAATATCTGTGATTTATATTTCTTTTGAAAATTGAAATCATCTCCACTGCCCACTCACACTGCGCACACAGTCCCAAACAATTTTTTTTTTTTTTTTTTTTTTTACAATTCCAAGTTGAAACTTGTAAACAAAATCAAAGTCAAGTGACTCAGTTTGTAGGTCTGAAAGATTTAAAAATAACAAAAGCCATGCGGCATTTTCTCAGAGTACCACTTACAATACAAGCATCGATAGAATGAAGTATTATGTATAAAAACTTTTATTCATCAAGTGTGCACCTATTTTTTCTCCGGTAATTTGACGGTTTTTTTTTCCTTAAAATTTTATAAGACTTCCCCACCGCCAAGCTAAAAGGAAATAGTTAAGGTCAAAGGTCAATGTAAAACCATTTGTTTGACCTACATAACATTACTTCCGTCACACGAAAAGACAACAATCTCAACTTGAATTTCGTTTTAACTCAGGACGCCTTAAAAAAAAAAGAAAAGAAAAGAAGGGAAAGCCATGTCACGATCAGTTGTTATCGGAGTTGACAACAGCGAATACTCAGAGCAAGCATTTGATTGTAAAATTAATAAGAATTTTTATTATGCTATTATTATTAATTTTATTCGGCATTGTTTATTCACTACTAATCACTAACTTAACTACTACCATTTTTTTAGTTATACTTACTTACTTAGTTACTGTACAGTAAGTAGTAAGAGTAAGAAACACACAACCGAACTGAACAACATTAATGACAAGACATGATCAATAACACTGGCTGGTGTCATTAGACATAGGCTGGTATCACTCGAGTCAGTATCAGTTATCAGATGATATACTCTATCACTGTAACTGTAACTGAAAGTCATTCACTTCTTGTACTGAAAGTTAGTGAAAGGTCACTCACTGCTAATTAGGTAGTTCGGTAAGATCCGGGAAGTGCCGAAAACCGGGTATCGTGATTTCGTTGTCAAAATGGCGACCTCCACTTTTTAATTTACCGAGAGTCACGTTGTTTACGACTTTTTAACTATATATAGCCCAGCATGTTAATTCTATTTCCGCCCACAACTTAGAGTAGACATGTTGTGTTATGATTAGACACTTGAGTCCCTCAAAAAATTTTGGGGCTTCACTTTGAAAATTGAAGGTAAAATAACGCAATTTTTACTCATTCATATTTTTTGTGTGGAAAGGAACCTTTCTTTGAATTTAAAGGACTATATAAATAATGGCATTAACTACAACATATCCAAGACCTGTTAATTTAGGCCCATCAGTTTGGTCAGAAATTTCCTCGGAAATTTTATTCACGTGTGTCCCAAAATTACCTATTATCGTTAATATTCGTTGCTATGGTAAATAACCTGCTTTACTCTGGAAATCCAGCCTATTAGCCCCTAATAACTTATTTAGAAATAAAAATAAAATAATTAATAAAACAAATACATATTTTTAATATGATTTGATGCTTTTATTGAGGGATATTAGGTTAAAAAAGC